CGAGCTTCACAGTCTATAGGCTTGTTCTATCTGATAATGGACAGAGTAGAGAAGATTGGAGCTTTATGCACACACCAGATATGCCAAAAAGCGAAAAATAGGCAAAAAGTCGAAATTGATGCAGAGACAGATAAGATGGATGGATTGCCACCAAATCAGAGGTATAGGGAACGTCTTTATAGAGTAATAGATGGCCCAAATATCACAAGAAGTGAAGCACAGGATGTGGAGATATGCAATAGGAGTCCAATAGGGGTGAAAGTGCCAAAAATGCGAACTTCACAGAAGATGATGGAGTGGATGGATTTCCCCTAAATTGACGGTGTAAAGTGCAATAGTATAGGGTAGTAGATGGCTCAAATAGGGCCAAGATCCGAGCACAGGATGTGGAGATATGGAATAGGGGGCCAAAAGGTGATCAAATGATGATGAAGGCTCACAGAAAGATCCAGCTCAAATCCAACCGCTCTGACAGGTCTCCTAGTGTTATTTAGGCCGTAGAAGACGATGGTAGAAGTTACAGGACGATCAGATAAGGATTGGGCGAGATATGGTGCAGATAAGACCAAAAAAGCGTCCGAAATGGGGGTAACTTGCAACAAGGAGTTGTTGTTGGAGATCAAGATGAGATCAGAGTAATCTGAGGTGATGGATGAGATAATAAGAGTCCCAGAAGACGATGGTTACGATGGATAAGCAGTAGGACGCTTGGATGGTGAGATATGAGGTCAGGAAGATGGCTAGAGCACAGGGCTCATAACCTATTAAGAACAAAGCTTGAAGGAAGTGTCTAGCCACTTGCTGAGAGTAATCAGGGACTGGAACTAGAGTCCAATGTGAGTAACTATATTATTAGAGAGTATGACAGGTATACAGTACCTAGAGTCCAATGTGAGTAACTAGAGAATAGGAAGCATTGGACTCTGCAATACTGTCCGAAGTTTTGTAAACAAAGGTAAACAAAGCAGCCACAAAGGCGAAATAATAGAGAACACAATCAATAGTGAATGATAGAAGAATAGATAGAGAAAGGAATGAAAATATATAGGTAGCACAAAGGTGCAGAATCACCAAAACTAACAGTATCATGTGCTGTGGTCATGGTTCCGAGGTTGCCATTTCAAATAATAATTATCTCCTGCGTAGCTTTTGCACACCAGGGCTCATAACCTAATAAAACTATGTGAAACTCAGCCGCTGCCCAAGAGGCTATAGAAACGACTTTATTATTTACCTATGTGAAACTACAATGGATGTTAGTTTAAGGTGATCTCTAATAAATGTAATGTAACATACCTCAGCCGCTGCCCAAGAGGCTATAGAAACGACTGAGGTATTTCTATACTAAACCCCCTACTACTTATAGCCGGAGGTGCTACTCACTATAGTATAATGACTCCTAGGAGTACAATTGTGCTCCTAGGAGAACAATGGTTACTCCATGGAGTGGTGGCTATGCTCCATGGAGAACAATGGCTGCTTCAGCAGAGACCGGGTTTATCCGGTTTTGTCATGTGATTACTCAGACATAGTGCTGTTTCAAGTACCATATACGTGGTCCAGTGACCCAGAGTGCCACGGAGGCACCTTGGGCACTCTGATAGGCACTGTTCTTGAAGGCACGGCTCAGACATTTCTTCTTTGACTTCAAGCAGATTGTTGCCAGGTTTTGTAGTACTGTTCATCGGTATGCCTGTGATTTTATGTATGCAAAATACCTGGTTTGCCACCTGCTTGCTTCCCAATCATACCTGTCTCCTGGTCATTTGTCACATTATTACCCCAAGAACCTTATGGTGTCGAAAAAACTGACAACTTGAGGATTTGAGTGACACATTATTGATTACCTATCCAGCCTACCTTTGCAGTAACAAGACATTTATATCAAGGTAAAACTCTCAACTTTGTCCTGGTTAACCTGCACAAAGGAGGCTTTGGGGCGTTTGTACCGTATCACAAGCATGCACATGTAAGGGCTTGAGCATCACACAGCCAGTCACTATTGATCAATTAAATAAACCTACATTGATTTGTTACAGGAAATTCGTAAATTTGAAGTTATTGAGCATAACACGTATATTGTGCACAGTTTTAAAAAAGGTAATCTTGTTTTTGTACCTGATGCAGAGTCCAAGTTTTTATTGAAATTTTTTCCATTCCCAGCAAGATTCTCGGATAACCATGATTTGATAAATACTTTGCCAAGGAAGAATCTCAAACGGGTCAATACTGCCTGCGACCACAGAAAAAAATCAAGATGGATATCTCACAGGAAACTTGGTTGGATGTAATCAAAGAAGATGAATTGTGTAACACCACTGAAGGCAATAAACTTTTCATTTCTGAAAGTGGTAGTAGTGAATTTCCTCATGACAGTTCAAGCCTCAAATTTCATCCGACATCCATTTTACAACAAGTAGATGACACCACTTCAGCTGAGTCTATTTGTCTAGTGGAATTGTTCTCAGGATATCGCTGGTCCTTGACTGATTGGTGTTGTTTTTATAACAGTGTGTGTATTCATGGTGTTTTTTTGCCTTTACATTGATGCAAGTCAAGAACAAAAACATGATTGTAAGGTCATAAACGACCTGGTGTTTTGCTGTTTGATTCATATAAGCAACTGGCTTTTTCTCCTGAGAATCTAAAGACTCAATCCCTATTCAACATTGCTAGAGATATAGTGTATACAGGGGGCTACTATTTTACTGCGCAGTTGATGTCTGCTGATGGGGACATCTGGTATTACAATGGACAAGTGAACACAGGCAAACTGGTCCATAATGTGTCACTGTCCTCAATGGGGGAAGACAAATTACAATCAGCTCTTCTGGTGTCCAAAAATCACCTCATGTACCTTTACGTGTACACTCAGAAAAGTTGATTATATTGCTATCTCTATCAGGGGTCCTTAGCTGGTATGTTTCATTTACAATATTTAAGACTGTATTGATATTATTATTTTCACTGCATTGCAGCTTCCAATCTGCCTCTAACAATTTTATTGCTGAATCTTTGGTCTCCTCTGTACAGTATGACATTATTCTCTTCCTTTCCTTCCCCAACATTAAGTCTCACCACAACTCACTCAATTTCCCCCGAGCCTCTACCCACTATTGAGAAGCCCAGCACACCTCCTGCGCCCAAATCTGATAACAAACATATAGTGCTGAAAATGACAAGCCCTACAGCCCTCTCTGTTAGTTTTGGTGATTCTGCACCTTTGTGCTACCTATATATTTTCATTCCTTTCTCTATCTATTCTTCTATCATTCACTATTGATTGTGTTCTCTATTATTTCGCCTTTATGGCTGCTTTGTTTACCTTTGTTTACAAAACTTCGGACAGTACTGCAGAGTCCAATGCTTCCTATTCTCTAGTTACTCACATTGGACTCTAGGTACTGTATACCTGTCATACTCTCTAATAATAAAGTTACTCACATTGGACTCTAGTTTCAGTCCCTGATTGCTCTCAGCAAGTGGCTAGACACTTCCTTCAAGCTTTGTTCTTAATACTCTCTCCCTTAAATCTTGCACTTGTTAATGTGTGTAGGTCATAAATTGCTGTTACCCTGCCCACCTCAGCAATATTGTCAATGTTAACAACCCCAGGGTGCTCTACAAGGATAACTATGCCAGATTATTGGGTCACAAAGACAGGCAACCTATTCTTTATGAGGTTCTTCGCCCTCCTTGACTTCAGCGCGTCCTTTGATCACACGTGTCCATACTTCAGTCTGAAGACCCTGAGACTAGTAAGCTTCACTTGTCTATACATATAATGATCTGATTAAACATTTTATCAGTTCAATCTCAATGAACTCAAAAAGGCAAAAGTAACATTTTCTCTGTGACCTGTTCCTAAAGATAAAGATCACCTGGAGAAAGCAGTACTATTACGATACACAATTCTCTGATTTAACTTTTTCTTTTAGTTTTCACACAATTGTGCCATGCTGCACTTTCCCCTTGTTCAAACTCCACTTTCTCATGCTAAACTATTTTCCTTTTATTTTTAGCTACAAGTCTCACGGAGTGGAGCTGGTCACATAGGCTGTGCCATATGACATCATCAGCCACTGCCTTCATCAACTGTATAATACACATGTACAAACAGTCTGTAGATGTATATAAACCCCAATAGATCAAGGAGACTCCTCAGCGAGTTCTTCTGTTGTTTACCCACAACTAACCTGGTCCTAAACCTAAGGGAGTTTATCCACTCTCTCACTCACTCCTCTCTGCTTGTTTTTTCTGTGCACCAGAGTATAAAAACTTTGGTTGTAACACGCTTCTGAGATGAAGAAGTTAGCTGCACAGGATTTTGAGGATATATTACAGGTTAAGTCTTTCCTACCTGGATTTTTTTGAATATTAATAAAACTTCCTATCAATAGTGCACTATCCTCATTTTTGAAGAAATATTACCTCAGCGACATGATAACTTAGTTATGTCTTTACTTTCCAGATTTGCCAAATGGCATGCTCTCACAAAACTGCATGCACACAGATCAGGAAAACATGGTTTTACTATAAGTGCTAATAAGTACACACTAGTTCATAATTTTTGCTATTATAGCAAATATATTAGCTATATCAGTTCATATCAATTTATTACAACTAGTAGACAGTTGTTTTAGCTGTTCTAATAAGCTTTATTTTACTCTGAAACAGATATAGAGTATATTATAATCATTATACTATGGATTTAATATACAAAGTAACAAGTATAGTATACTATTGAAATGTACGACTACTCAAATGTAAAGCCTGAATACGCTACTAAAAAATCAGAAATAAATAAATTGTGTATAAAAAAACATAACTTACCAGATAAAAAATTCCACACTAGCACCAACCTTTGAGACATTGTAGACAGCATTGAAGGCTTTCAAAATTCAAAGCTATCACAATTTATTGGTTTAGAAAAATTGTATAGGTACTTAAAACTTATCTGAATTTTGAAGTCATCATCCAGCCAATAAGCTTTATTTTTCATGCACTTGGAGGTCATGCAAGACAGTGAGTGGGGCAAGCAGGGGGAGGGATTGTGCTGACTTTGAGGACACTACATTAAATGGGACCCAAGAGACCCATCAGGTTAGGGGTATATTCCAGGTGCAGGCCCACTACATCATATTTTATGGCAAGTTTGTTGGCTAATTACAGTAATATATTCCAAAGATCACACCAGCTAAAACATAAAATGGGAGCCAATTCCATCTACAGTAACAATTTTGTTGTCCAACTCAGAACCTATGCCAAGCTAATCTCCACATGACGCCCGGCAATTGAGTAATGGCATGGAGTAACGCCAATAGAATGCAGAGGAAAAGCAGCACCAATAGTATACTCCTCTCAGGCTCCCGGGCCTGGGGTGGCTGTTGGCCGCACATTGCGTCAGTACAATGCCGCATATGAAGGAGAACAGATGTACCGCTGGCTCTTGATCCTCAATCCTCTGCCACCCAATGTCTCAACGCTGGCGACTACGACTGCAATCCTAGCCCCTCCCCCTCTCAAAAACCATCCCCATTGCACGCACCAGGACGACAACAAAGATTGTGGGAGCCGTATTGTCATGGTGAGCGGACTGAAGTAGCATGAGCAAATGCAAAAATGATTGAAGGTAGTTACTTACTTCAAGGTCGTTGTCAGCCCCACCATTGTACTCTACGTCTATACAAATATTGATGTTGATATTATTGTTAATATTATTATTGACTTTAGAATTTGATATTGTCAGATAAGAGTACCAAATTGGGTAATCTGTCCCACTCATGGTTAGTTGGGGTACCTGAATTTGATGTCATTTCAAACAGAATCAGGTTACTCAATCGGATTGAGACAAATTTGCAACCTTCAAGGGATAAGCGAGCAATCCGCCACGTGTGGCAAGCACAGCCTTGACAAAAAGCCAAAACCGGCACCTATCAACAGCCACCACACTGTCACGGTCCGAGTTGAGCTCTTTCTCATCCGAGTCATTGTCATAATTGATGATGTCACGGTGTGTTTTTAGGGGGGTGTACATATAGTGAGGTAGCTGCTCTATGATGGGTTGGAATTGAGGTAAATCAAACTTATCTTCTTATGAACGTAGCATAGTGACATCTTTTTTGCAGGCCAAAAGTTCATACAGCTGCAGCAACAGATCAATGCTCAGCTAGAGTACTGCAAATTAGCGGTGGCAATGACCTTAGCATACAACTTCTGGCTGTATGAGTTGTATAGTATCTATATCTAGGTCTTTTTGACATATAACAGGAAGGAGTGAAGCCTATGACGGATGAGCCTGCACAACAAACTTTTTATACTTGCCTAGACTATAGTCTTCACCTTTTACATCTGTTCATGCCCTTTATAACTGAAGAGTTATGGTGATGTGTACCTCACTACCCTCATGATTTGACACCATCAATCATAATCTACCAGAGTGAAACAAAACATGCAAACTACTACTGACAAATTGCTTCAATGCCAATAAACAGACCGTAATTATATTATTAAGGGATCCTCAGGTTCAATCAAATCCTATACATGTAACAATCTGGTGTAGGCATATTTCTATATATTCAATATATCATTTTCATGATTCAACAGTTTATTTGAGCCTACGCTAATATTTCAAGTACTAAATAATTCATTTACAGTCCGACTTTTCACCCTATAGTTATGGGAAAATGTTTCCCCATTGGGATCCAAAAACTCGGACTTTTCCTTCTCATTTTTATGCTCGTTTCTAGAATAGTTACACCTCAGTTTGTATTGCACAAAACTGAGGTTAGTAGATACAGTCTTTTTTTTTCACATCTTCATTTACTTATTATGCTTCAGTATTGATTTCTTAGGTACAGCATAATAAATCAGAGTTTGTATTGCACAAAACTGAGTATTGATTCTTAGACCTAGAGTTTGTATACTCTGGCACACAACTCAGACAAGCAATAGTGAATTGAATGGGAGTGGTTACCCCTTAAGATAGGACCGAGTTAGTTGTGGGTAAACAACAGGAGAACTCACCAAGGAGTCTCCTTGATCTATTGGGGTTTATATACATCTACAGACTGTTTGTACATGTGTACTATACAGTTGATGAAGGCAGTGGCTGATGATGTCATAGGGCACAGCCCATGTGACCAGCCCCACTGTGTGAGAGACTTGTATCTAAAAATAGAAAAGGCAGCGCAGTGTGAGAAGTGGAGTTTGAACAATAATGGAAAGTGCTGCATGGCACGGGGAGTGAAAACTACAAAAGAAAGTTAAAGTGGAGAATGAAATTTAAAGGTCTGAAAATTGTGTATTGTAACAATACATCCATGTAAATGAAACTGATAATCTAAGCCTATTAACACACTCACATGCCCTGTGTATGCATGGTGCATTCATATAATTCTGCCTGCACGCCTGTGAAACTACTAATGATGGCCAGGGCGGCACAGTAATTTCTTGCCAGAACTTCATAGTTAGAGTTTGCGTGCAATATAGACATTGCCTGAATAACCCTCGAGCCTCCATTGAATCTGTTGGTAATAGGATGATATAGTCAGCACTAGTGTCGTCACAAATAGCCAACTTGAAGACTCACCACTGCGATCAAGAAAGCGATAGTCTCATCAGGAATTCAGTCAGGCAAACCGCCATGCTTGAGATGGTGGTCGAGACGCCACAAGTGGGTTAGGTCCTGTAAGACATGAAAGAGAAAATAGTCAACAATTGAGGCACATTTCTTCCAAACAAATCTAACGACAACAGGGGTACTCTCTGGGTGCTACATAGAGAGGGGTTGTAATTGTTCATTCTCACTCAGTAGAGGAGGGATAAAATATGTTAGCTAGCTCACACCAGAGTCAACAGGAAACAGCATAGTAACATTGCCGAAAGAGAATTCTGGCGTTCTCAATTGTACCTAATAATGCATAGGACTCAAGCCGGTCAGGAGTGCTAATGATACTAGCGCGTTGATCATCTGAATCATCAGAGGGCCATGTTATAATACATTGCCTCTACCATCACATACGATTTTGTTCGTCATGCCCAGAAAATAGTGCGACATTTTTCTATAACTTTGTAGGTAAATAAAGAGCTTACTAATTTTTCGACCCAAATGGAACAAGCATAAGAGCATCTCACGGTAACTTTATTTCGCTGATGCAGACCTGACAGTACCAGGAATACAAGTTGTAGATCTTTCTTGTATCTATCATCGTCGTCCATCCAAAGTCTTGACCGATTGCAAAGAGGATTATATCCTGTGTCACTCCTTGAAACAAAGAAGATATCAGTGGGAATCATGTCACTAGCTGACTTGACTCGAAGCTGTTTTCAAAATGGGATTTCTCCTGAGCAAGTTAGCCATTCTTGATCTTGACTCCTTCATCTCTCTGACCTAGACTTTGATTAAGTGGACTAGTCACTGCCAAATGTTTATTGGAAGAAACGATCCATACTACGGTTCTTCTAACTCGGGGACAGCTTTGAGTAGTATGTTCATTGTGTTGGCATGTCGCGGGACTTATCCGCTGAGATAAATCATGTAGACTCAGTGATCTCCTTGTACCACAGGCATCCTGGGGATACTCGACTTCATGATTATTTAAGAAACGGGTTGGACGAAGGGATGATATCGGTGGTTGATTTTGTGGCCACGCTGCTTCAAGCAGTAAGATCACCGGAACTACGTGACGACACGCTTGATATCCTTTGTAAAATTGCTTTGGATACTCATCGCTGGGTGGCCAAGCTCCCAATGGTGTCTTACGTGGCTATAGCAAACTCTCACACTGCTGTGATCATGATGGATGTAGTACAAGACGCATTCACGCTGTTACGCACTGTGAACTCTTCGTCCTCATCCAGGTTTCATACGCTCCTGTTCTCCACCTCTAAGCTCATCGTTGTCATACTGTCGTGGGTGCCGGATATATCTCGGGTCTCTGCTTCACGGGCTGCACTCCTACTCGCAGATGCAAACGACATCTTGCATACTTCACAACTACTACCTGATGTTAGACAAGCTTTGCAATCTTTTGCACTGTCGCTGAGCTTTCTTATCGGGAATGACGCCAAAGTAGCAAGAGAAGCGCAGATGATGCAAACTCTTCATCTTGCTTTGGGGAAGAAAGAAACGTTGGGACCTGATCGTTCAGATGTAATCACCTGTACCATGTTACTCCAGGCTCTGGTAAGTCTCAGAGGCCGCGCAGCACAACATAATGCTTACCTTGCTCATTTTAGGTTACTTGCCGTGGTGGTGATTTTGGCCCCGGTTGTGTAGCAAATACGGTAGCCATGTTTTTCGGAATGCAACGATGGAATGCGTGGTCGACGAGTGCATTGTATACTCATCTGCTCATAGCTGCTTTTACCTGCACGCAAGCGCAAAATACCCACCGCGGTTCCCTTATCTGGAAGTCTTTCATGATCGGCCGTGTATGTTTTCGATTCCGATTACTGCAGTTATCTTTTCTAATTCACTTGTCAAAGCTTCCTTTCCTTCTCCTGGCACTCGAGAAGGTTTTCGAAATACACGGCATTGCCAAAATAGACTGCGTTAGACTTTATTCTGGTTTAGTTATTTTGATCGTCTGACGGGTTCAAAGATTAGCAGTCTGCTATGCAAGCTTCCCTCTCATCAGTCTTCGAACATTTTGGTTGGGTAAATTTCTTGCACCGTGATGTTACCGACCACAGCGACGAAAGCCATACATCGTGAGTTACTCCGAGGCGAAGTAATAGTCTCTTTGACCTGAACCCCATTCACACAGTACTTCCCGTTTTATTCGAAGATTTCTCCATTCACTCGTTGACGTCAATGCAATAAATTCAGCTTTTATAAGGACATCGACTAACAGCACTACTCATACGTTGCAAGCAGAGGCATATATACACGGGCAAGACATGGAGGTTAAGCACTTTATTCTGATGTTTACCAGATGCTAAGGAACATATAGACATATTTAAATCTCAAGCTGATCCAGGAACAAAATCAGAATGAGACTGATTCCACTGTGAAACGCATCTGCCAAGATCCTGGTAGTCATGTTATTTTCGCGAAGATGATTCAAAAAGTAGGTTCATATAAACTTGCAGTCTTTTGATGTCGGCTATTGACAAGTGGCTAGCATTTTTTGTCTTTTTCTAAAGCTTTTGACGTCGAGTTATTAGGTCGCTTATCCAGATTATTGTTCTCACACAACCCTGTACTGGATATCTTATCTGTCTATATTACGATATCACTATTAATCAGTGAAGCCATGGCGTTTCTTTCAGGTTATGATTGTGAAACTGTCGGTTGGTATTTATTCTGATCTACATTGTGTACTCTTCACTCAGTCTGCTCAAGGTGACCCACAAACTGCTCTTAGTCATTTGGGAAACGTCGTATTGTTCGTGCAGGTGGCATCGGCACGATTTCAGGTGGGTAATCTGCGCAGTCGGAATGCTGAAGCACACTGAAATGCTCATATAAGCTAATGCGCGAGCTCCCGAGCTCGGACTTCGCGCATTTTGAGCTGATTCCCTCGATCGAAGGCTTTGGGGGCCCGTGTACTACCTTATGGTTCAAGGCGTTATTTGATACAAACAGTGAGGGTATAGAAGATACAATATTACGGTATGTCGATCGCTAAATCAATCCCTGATTTATCGATTTAGTTTTTGGCTCAGGTCTACCAATCCGACAAACTTGTTGATTATTTCCTCGACGGTTTTTTCACATGCAATTCGGGCTCGATACGAAGGGAAAATGGACCAAGATGTTTTCAGTAACGGTATCTCATATTTTATGAGTCCGCTCCTGAAATGGACGCTCGTTAGTATAGTGAAAGTTATGCTGAGTGAAATACAGCGGGAATGGTACGTTTGTTTGCCATGTAGGGCCTTTAAAATTACTCAGATGGCCTTCGGTTGGCAGCCTGGCGGCATCTGTACACATAGAAGTTCTCCGGACTCTACTCCTTTCGCCTTCTTGCCCCCCGTCAGTCTTAAATCTGTGCGGTGCAGATATTTTGAAAATGTTGTCCATTGGCCTGCCCTTGCCACCGAGTTCGTCTCGCCAAGTTTATGATTTGGACATCATTCGCAATACTGCTTTACAGTCTTTGGCAGTTGTTGAGAGTAGGTCATTGCCACTTTCATTGCATTTCGGCTGAATGGATCACGATATGCAGAGGCCGGCGATGCATCAAAGAACCACCATTCTCGTGCTACATGGATGGATCAACCTCGAAAAATCATTCATGGTTCACTTGCCCTTACGAGAGAGGGAAAGGCCCCATATATCAATCTCGCGCGCTGCCTAACGCTGTCTTCTCCTATGCAGTTTGTGCGCCTCCTTTGGTACGAACTGAACACTCCCGCGAACGTGAGGGAAATGGAAGCATGTCGGAATCTAGTAACGTCCATCCTCGTCATGCCACAACCTACAACCCCTCTACTGCCCTTGTTTCTGCATATTGCATTACCGGTGCTAATCAGTGCCGTTGATCAGCAACAGCCGCCTGAGAAGTTGATGAGTATTGAGCTACTCGCCGCGATCGTATCGTCGTCTCTCACTGCTGCTATGCACATCGAGTGTGCTTCGCAGTCTGTTCTTAGCCCGCAGAGCAATGGCACAGGGCAATCGACCACCCTGATAGCCATGAAATTGGGTGGATATTTGCGGTCGCGTAGTAGCTGTAATGCTGGCGCCGCCATTTTGCAGCGGTTGTCATGCAACCCATCCTTTATGACAAACTTCCCAGCATTTATGATGGAGCTTTGACCCTGGATCTTAGGGACCAGGCGTTAGGGACCAGGCGTCATCCCCAGTGAGAACTGGCCATGCTCGGAGATGCCCGCAAGCGCCAGGTTGTGTTTTTTTTAGACGTAGAAAGCAAACTCATGTATTTACATAATGCAAACCAGTGTTGGATAACTGAAGCAGATTCTGGTGTTCCAGCTGTGTGAGAACATCGGGAAAAACCCTTTTGCTATATAGCACTATATAGCCACCACATATGTATATAAATGCATTCATAGAAACTATAGTACTATCAGTGCAATCATAGCTCTTATAGCTCTTATAGCATAGTAGTAAGCAAAATTTAACCAAGGGGAGAAGTATCTATATTTCCCTCAAACTCTGGATGAATCTAATAAACTTGTTCAACAATAGAAAGAGGCCAAAAGTGTTTGGGGTCAAGTATATTAATATAGGCAAGGTACTATAAGTGCCCTTATAGCCTATGGCAGCCTACATAGCTCCTATAGCTGTGAAGGTCACAGTTATAATATAGTTCAAGCTGCTTGAAAGGGCTAATAAATCATACAGCATTAATCAATTATGTAGTCTGTATTAGTGAAATAGTAGTTTGTATCTTTGATATTTATAAAAATAAGAATAATGATTTATCCAAATATAAGTGGTGACAGTGAGTAAAAAAATAATCTAAGTCCATAAAAGGTCAATATATAACACCCGTATAATATATTTTATAAGCACTCATGGTATAGTGGATAAATGTGTAATGCGTGGCTATAAATTTCTTAGTCAACCAAAAGCTGACTAGCAGGTTGAGAGTTTAAATCCTGTCTGTGTTAATTTTTTTCGTCAGCCACACAACAATTTCTTACAACTATAAGGGCATTAATAGAACTATATGAGGCTCTATAGATGGAAGAGGTTTTATAGCAGGTTTGACCACTATACCAGCTTTATGAGCACTTATAGTGCTATAGAGCTCTATATAGCTACCTCCATTTTTCCTGATGCAACTTGGGGCTTGCAAGTATTTAGCGCAACACAGACTACAAGATTTTCAGCTGAACAAGTCACGTTGAGAACCTCACAAAGAAGATGTTACAATTTTTATTCCTTTTATGGACTACTCATTTTTCTTTACTTGTCGGTTATACCATCGGACCAATGACTCATTTCCTTCACGTATATTTCCGTTTTCTTTGCAGACTGCATTTCCTAGTATAGTGTAATGACCAAGATATACTCTGGCGCACACAGGAACACACTATAGAGAAAGATGATGAGGGAGTGGTTACCCCTTAATATGCAGTGAGTTAGTTGGTATACAACAGGAGGACTCGCTAAGGAGTCTCCTGGATCTATTGGGGTTTATATACTACTACAGGGTTGTTTGTACATGTGTACTATACAGTTGATAAATATAGTGGCTGATGATATCATGGGGCCTAGCCCGTGTGGCCAGCTCCACTGTGTGAGAGAGTTATGTCCAAAATAAGAATAAAGGCAACACGGCGCGGGAAGGGGAAGTGCCACGCGGCACCCTGTGTGAAAGCTATAGTATAAGGTTAAAGCGGAGAATAAAAGTAAAGGGAAAGTCCAAAAATTGTGTTATCGTAACAGTATAGTAGTTAGCCCTCAACAGGCAAGCCTCCCCTAGATAGGACCTAACTCCTATCACCGATCATATTTCCTATAAATACCCTTGTAACAGTAGTAGTATTTCTTCAATACAATTCTACGCAGTTTACACTTACAAAGCTAGACTCCTAAGATCAGACTTCTACCCAGAAGAAGACCAACTCTCGTTGAAAGAACTCTACTCAGAACTACGTCCTCGAATTTGTCTTCAGATAAGTCTCTTTGAACACTCGACGAATCCTCAGACTTTGTTAAGCACTTTGTGCGTAACAAAAGAATCATATTCCTACCAGAAATCCCACCTATTTAGGTTTGGGAAGAAAAAGTTGACAAGACGTTGCAACGACCAACAAGCAGATCTCAGAGAGCAGGAAAGCTCGGACAATCCACGGACAGCAACACCACCAACATCGTCCAGACAAGGAAGGACAGCAGCACCACCTCCCTTTCCCCAACCTGACGTCACTCGACTCCACACCCGAGAACAGGCGGACACATTCTACAAAACCAGAACACTTTGGCTACAGCTTTACACAGAAAGCCACCCACAACTAATACCCAAAACACAACACAATCCCCCAGTAACTACAGCAGACATCTACGACGAAAACAACTTTGAGGAATATGTGGCAGAAGGCAAACCAATACCACCTCCCACACCACGGATACTTCCCCAGCACCCAATCCATCTCCAGTCCCACCAACACACACCATGTCTAATACTGCAGCCTCTAAACCCATGATGATTGGAAAGATTGATGACTTTGATGGGACCCCAGATAAGGCCCAAATATCGATATCATCCACAGATTTACACTTTGATATCAATGACACCATTTACACCTCCAACAAGAAAAAGGTGTATGTAGCACTCAGCTACATGAAGGATGGGACTGCCGCCTCGTGGAGCGAAGCCAAAATGACCGAGTACAAAGAAAAGAACACCTACCCCTTATGGGCAGACTTCATGAAAACCTTCACAGCCAGCTTCAGAACGGCAAACATCAAAGGAACGGCCTCAGCCGCCTTGATGAAAATGAAGATGGAACCAGGAGAAAATGCAGTGGCATTTAACTCGAGATTCATGCTAGATGCCGGGAAGAGCGGCATCAACAACGGAGCCATGATCATGATTTATCAGAAAGCAATCCGACCTCCCCTCCTCCGCGGAGCACTCACCAGAAAGGAACTGGTCACCATAGAAGAAAAGATTGGATGAACACGGTGGCAAACCTTGATGCCAACTGGATCAGTGCCAACACCATCTCCGAAGGGATGTGGGGTACCAGAAACAAGGAAAAACAGAACGACAAAAATTGGAAAGGTGGACCACTCACTAGCGCAAAAAGACTGACCAAAGACGAAGAAGAAACCAGAAGGAAATAAGGGAGATGCTTCATATGCAACAAAAAAGGGCACATAGGAAGGAATTGTCAGAATAAGGGAAAAACTCCCGAAAGAAAGGTACGTCAAGCCAAAACAGAAGATGACACCAAAACAGTGGTAGAAGAAGACAGGGCCCAAAACATCATGAGGATGTGGAGGGAATTAGGAGAAGATCAACGAGCAGAAGCAATGAAGGAATTGGAAGGCGAGGGTTTTTGAAACAACGGACTACCCCGATGTTAGTACCGTTAAAAGTGGCAACTGTAATAATAGCAATGATCAATGCCAACTCTTTACAAATTGATTGCTCATTAAAATAGAAAACCATCAGAACCAAAGCCCTGATAGATTCAGGAGCTACAGATGACTTCATGGACACAAAATTCGCCATCAAACACCGACTCCCCCTCCAAAAACTCCCAACTCCTATAACGTGTAAAAACGTTGACGAAACTATGAGCAAAAATGGAAAAATTATGCATTATACCTATCAGAGGATAAATGCAGGAGGACAAAACAGTTTACAAAGTTTCTATTGACCGGACTAGACGGAGAAGACATATTACTGGTTACAAAAAGTCAATCCAGTCATTAACTGGAAAGACAAAAAATTACCAAACCCAGACGAACACTCCATCAGGACAAACCAGACAACCACGGAAATAAAAAACAGGACAACCGCGATAAACAAAGACATATACAAAACCATTCATAGATTTGTATCCGACCAAACACCCTATCCTCGAACCACAATTAGATTAAAGGTCAACTCGGCAATGGAACACGCACAGATACACAGAGAAAAGAAGGAGCATATCCTCCCGGATGAATATAAAGAGTATTCAAACGTCTTTGATAAAAAAAAGTTGGAAAAACTCCCCAAGCGACGGGAATATAATCACGTAATCAACATGAAACCGGAATTTATACCAACAGATTGCAAATTATACCCATTGGCACCAAAGGAAGACAAAGTGTTAACGGAATTCTTAACAGAAACCTACAGAAAGGGATACATCAGATCAAGCAAGTCGCCACAAGTGTCCCCCTTCTTTTTCATCGGCAAAAAGGACGGATCACTCCGACCATGCCAAGATTACAGAAAACTGAATGCATATACCGTGAAAGACCCATATCCACTACCCCTGATACCTGACCTCATCAAAAAACTGAAAGGGGCCACCATTTTTACAAAACTAGATCTACGTTGGGGATACAACAATGTAAGGATAAAAGAAGGAGACAAATGGAAAGCTGCATTTAAAACCAGCAAAGGAGTGTTCGAACCAACAGTCATGTTTTTTGGCATGTGCAATTCACCGGCGACATTCCAAAGGCTGATGAATGACAAATTCAAAGACTACATTGATGAAGGATGGATGATCATATACATGGACGATATCCTCATCTTCAACGCCAACATTGAAAGACTCCAAATCCGAACAAAACAGGTTCTACAAAGGTTGCGCGATAACAACCTATTCCTCAAAATAGAAAAGTGCACCTTTGAGGCAGAAACTATTGAATACTTAGGAATGATTGTTTCCCACAACCAGGTATCTATGGACCCAGCTAAACTCGCAGGAATACATGATTGGCCAACCCTAACAAACACCAAGGGTGTACAAAAGTTTCTAGGTTACGGAAACTTCTACAGGAAGTTCATTGGTCATTACTCTGATCTAGCTATCTAGCTAGACCCCTAAACGCCTTACTAGAAAAAGACAAAAAGTGGAACTGGACGCAAATCGAAGATAATGCCTTCAGCTTAATGAAACAAAAATTCCTCGAATCCCCGGTAACACAAATGCCTGACTCTTTGAAACCATCAAAAATAGCAGCAGACACTAGCAAAAATGCCACTAGGGCTGTATTAATGCAACCAGATGACCAAGGACAATGGCACCTGTGCACATTTTTTTCGAAAACCCTGTCCCCCGCGGAAAAGAACTACCAGATCTACGACAAAGAACTACTGGCAGTAATAAGAGCTCTGAAGGAGTGGAAACACCTGCTTCTAGGAAGCTCCCACACAATCCAAATCTTAACGGATCACAAAAATCTGACGTACTGGTAAGAAGCCAGAAAACTCACTCCACAACAGAGACGATGGCAGCTATAACTGTCACAATACATTTACACCCTAGAACACGTACCAGAAACCCACATGGTGGTACCAGACGCACTCTTGAGGAGACCCGACTTGTACATTGACAACAAAGAAGACGACAAGGACACACCAATGATACCAGCATCAGCATTCTTATATCACACACGAACAATAAAAGACGCTATTAAGCAAGCAATGCTCACAAACAACAACTATCCAGGACAAACAAAGAAGGAAGATTGGAGCAAAGAAGAAGGACAGTTCTTCCATCAGAATAAACTACTAATTGACAAAGCAGAGGAACAAAGAAAAATCATTAAAGATCACCATGACTCCCTAACGGCGGGACACCCAGGAAGGCTAAAAACCTACCAATTAATTAAAAAGGCCTACTGGTGGCCAGGAATGATGAAACAAGTAGAAGAATGCGTGAAAGGATGCTAAACATGCATCCAACTACAGTACCGTTAATACCAAATCAAACCCCAAAAACCACAGAACCAATGAACTATCTCTCTGTGGATGTCATAACAGACTTACCAGAGTCATCAGGATATGACAGTATAATGGTCGTGGTAGACCAAGGACTTAGTAAGGGGGTAATCCTCTCACCCTATCATAAAACCATTGATGCACTCAAAACTGCACAAATCTTCCATGATTCCGTCTTCAAACGATTTGGATTACATGATAAACTCATATGGACCACAGTTCACCTCTGAAGTATTCAGAGAACTCCACAAACTCCTGAACGTTGAAACTGCACTCTCCACGGTGTATCATCCACGAACAGAAGGACAGACGGAATGATCAAACCAAGAACTGAAGATCTACCTCCGATACCGGCCGTCTCTTCAGAAAAAACAGCTGATGCATTGAGTTCTTTATTGTGCACAACTTGATCTTCAAGGCCAGGCAAAGCATCATCTTCGGGATACAGATCAAGTATGCTGAAGTCATAGGACAGATTAGTGTACAAATGGTTATGATACCTCAGCCACAATAAAAAAACGAGAATATTACGTCTACAAGCCCAAAACATTGGGCCCATCTGGCTAGCAAAAACATTTCCAGGACCCACAAAGACAACACTAAGGATGCCATTGATGCCTGTAGGAGTGTGAGGCAACACAGTGGCTGTAGACACAATATTAGTATCATGCGCACAAATATTTCTGTGAAAAATCTTTGGTTGAGTGGGGTCCAACAACTGATACAATTGCGTGACATGAGCAGTAGCACAATAAATTACACAAATTTTTTCCTCAACCCAGGTCAAGTCTTGAAAGGAAGCGGGCAGTGTACCCCGGTAGAGTTTGTTTGCTAGTGAAAACCAACAAACTACATCTCTGACAATATAAGGGTGACAATCAGTATATACATGGAAAGTGGCAGAAAAAGATCTACAAAAAGAAATACACTTTCAATCAAGCATTAGTCTGTCAATGGTGATATTACCAAAAGTAAATTCCAACAATACACATTGTACTATACAATTTGAGATGATAACTTCATCACAGAGGCAAAGGACATCAGGGTTGGGTGGAAGTGTGGATTCTGGAGTAAGCTGGATAACTTTGATGGCATGCTGATGTTGCGAATAAACACAACACATTGTAGCTGGCTTGCAGGCTGAGTTTTTCATGTAGGTATCCAAGTAGCAAAAGACTATATCACAAGGAACCATTTGTGGCCAAGAGCGCTGTATATCTAGGTCATGTTCATGGGTATCCAACACTTTATGCTGTTTTTTATGCCTTCAAATCTTCTTTTTCTTCTGCAGGGTGGATATGACCGGTGACAACAACACAGTAAGGAGACACAGACACAAGCCATACTCATGTTGTAGTATCTGGAATATCATATCAATTCTATTCAGTCCAAGCAAAGGCCAAGAAGGATAGTGACATAAGTAAATAACAACAAGCAATATAGTGCCAGAAGAAAAGAGAAAAGCGACCCGACTTACAAAAAGAGATAATAAAGAGGAACAACACTTTTAATGGGAACAGGAAAATCATTGAGGTCAAACCAATTTCACAACAGCATCAAAACAGGCACAAACATCTTTGGATGACAATCTTTTAAGACATTTAAGAAAATCAGACTGCTCAGAAGAAAGCCATCATAAAGGAGAGGATGGAATATCACCAGCAGGGACAACAGGCCTGATAATTGCAATAGATCAATGATGATGTGAAATGGTGTTGTACTTGACACAGCCACTTGTGAACCATATTCTTTTTCAACTTGAGAAAAGATGCAAGACAGTTGACCAGCTGCACATTTGTCAACTTTATCAACAGGAAATTAGGTTGTTAGGCAGGACCCCTAACTGGGCACGCAATAAAAAGAAATGTTGCAGTATGGAGGAAATTAGCAAGTCTTTATTGTGGGCAAGGCAATGCAAAAGCCTGAGCATTTCAGTGCATTCACAAAGATTGTCCTGAGAAAGATGAGCAAGGCGCTCAACATAATACTCGTTGGGGTAAAAAAACTCAGGACAGGTTGTCATCCAATCTATGGTCTGTTAACTGGGAAATCCTGAAAACATCAGATGAAAAAGACATCAGATCCAACCTGGAGATCAAAATACAATGGACATATTTAGAGGACACAATCTCATAGACTTGAAGGATCACACTTTTATGAGACTTTTGATTCTCCATGAGAAAATAATTCATAAACTAGGAACTTCCATGGGAAAAGCAGATGCTTATGCCACATGCTGGGCATTAAACCTAAGTTATCAACAGTGTTCCATGTGCAAACTGATGGACAAATGGAGAGACTCAACCTGGAGTTGAAATAGTGTCTCTGGATATTTATCAATGATAGGCAGACAGATCTCATTGTCATGTCCGTACCGGGGAACGGGACTCCGACATCTCCAAATGAGATATTTTCTTCTAGTCTGAATCTCCCAAATCTTCGGTATTACCGGGATTACGCTCCTTATGGCCTGCCATTTGGCATAGCCCCGTGCCCCACCCCCACATGGTACTCCAAACTCCCGTTCCAATACTCCTACACCGGACTTCTAGTCCGCCATATACTTTCCTGCGCACATTCTTGTACTCCTCATGGACTCTTTAGTTTAGACCTTATGATACACTCCTTACACATATATTTCTCTCTTGCTAGATAATTGTCCACATGGAACTCCGTACCTACATTACAAGTTACTCCTTACAAGCTCCTACTCCTTCAAGAGTATATGCTTCTGTACTCTGTTCCTGCAGTTTGAATATCAACTAGATTCTCTCACCTTTTTACAAGTCCCTTTCTAAGTTTCCCAACCCTTCTCCAAAGAATCTTTACTCTGCTCCCTTTTCATCCTCTACTTTCCTGCATCCATCCCATCAAGTTAGGGACCAAGGTCCACAGAAGGGCCTAGTGCACAAGCTAAGCCAATTCCCCATCTCGTACTCTGTTACCCCTACCCCATCTCTGTACACTGTAACTCCGACACTCCGTAAGGTCACAGTTCTGACACTCATACAATATCAAACAGTCATTGGCTACAGGGACATCACCATGCAAGGTCACAAGGTCATACCTACCAAGAATGGGTGTAGAACCTGGCAAAAGCAAGGATGGGGCTGCTAGGAACATAGTCAAAGACATAAAATCTGTCTTAGACAAAATGCGCCAGGTGCTATTCAAAACTGCAGAGCAGATGAAAGACAGGGCAAAGTGTAGACACTCTAAAGCACCTGACTACAAGATCAGCAGCCTGGTTTGGTTGGATACTGACCACTTGAAATTCAAAGATAAACTGCCAAAAAGTGGATTGGTCCTTACTGGATTAAGGAAGTCAAACCAAATGCAGTGGAGCTGGAGCTGGAACTCCCAAAACGGATGGGGGTGGTACCCAGGGTCAATATTAGCTGTGTGGAACCCTACAAGAGACCATTGCCGGGACAATGCAATTTTGGCCTGGACCGGTTGTAGTCACCCAGGAAGGTGAAAAAAAGTTCAAAGTCAAACAGGTGGTAGATGCACGCTTGAAGTATGGAAAATTAGGATTCCTGGTCCTATGAAAGGGCTATAGAAATGAGGACAGAATGTGGGAACCAGGAGCCCATCTGGACAATTCCCGCAATGCCGTTCACAAATTCTATTCTAAGAATCCCTCAGCTCTACAAAAGCTTAGAGGCATGGATTCAAGCCTTTTTTATTCTTTTTTTCAACCAATGCCCAAAAATTTAACTACAACCTCCAGTACTTGGTCTTGCCTGGAATTTGAGCCTTAGGAGGGGGGTAGTGTTACAATACACAATTTTTGGACTTCTAACTTTTGTAACAACCAAGAGTTAGTTACTCTGGCGCACACAGGAACACACTATGAAGGTAGTGGATGGGGAGTGGTTACCCCTTAGGCTGCAGAGAGTTTGTTGGTTAACAACAGAAGGACTCACTGAGGAGTCTCCTGGATCTATTGGGGTATATATACTAATACAGAGTGTTTGTACTTATGTACTGTACAGTTGATAAAGTCAGTGGCTGATGATGTTATGGGGCCTAGCCCGCATGACCAGCTCTACTGTGTGAGAGATTTGTATCTAAAATAAGAAGAAGGCAATGTGGCACGAGAAAGAGGAGTTTGATCAAAAGGGGAAGTGCCACATGGCACCATGTGTGAAAGCTAAAGTATACAAGGTTAAAGCGGAGAATGAAAAGAAAGAAAGGTCCAAAAATTGTGTTATTGTAACACTACCCCCCTTCTAAGGCTTGACTTCCAGGCGAGACCAAATACCGGAGGTGGTAGTTAAATTTTCGGGCATAGGTTGAAAAAGGGAGTTAAAAAGTTTTGAGTCCATGCCTCTAAGCTTCCTAGGAGCTGAGGGGTTCTTAGAATAAAATTTGCAAACAGCATCACGGGAATTGTCCAGATGGGCTTCTGGTTCCCACATTCTGTCCTTGTCTCCATAGCCCTTCCATAGGACTAGGAACTCTAATTTGCCACGCTTCAAGCGTGCATCCACCACCTGTTCAACTTTGAACTCTTCTTCACCTTCCTGGGTGACTACAACCGGTCCAGGCTGGTCTACACGCTGTCCCGGCAGCGGCCCTTTGTAGGGTTTCACATGGCTAATATTAACCGTGGGTACTACCCTCATTCGTTTTGGGAGTTCCAGCTCCACCGTGTTTGGTTTGACATCCTTAATCCGGTAAGGGCAAATCCATTTTTTGGTCAGTTTTCTAGACTGCCGATCTTTTAACTTTAAATGGTCAGTATCTAACCAGACCAGGTTGCCGATCTTGTAGTCAGGGGCCTTAGAGCGTCTACGCTCTGCCTTGTCTTTCATCTGCTCTGCAGTTTTGAATAGCGCCTTGCGCGTTTTGTCTAAGACAGATTTCATGTCTTTGGCCATGTTCCCAGCAGCCTCGTTCTTGCTTTTGCCAGGTCCTACACCCATTCTGGGGAGGTACGATCTAGTAACCTCAAATGGTGCCTTTCCTGTAGTCGTCAATTGTTTGATATTATAAGAGAACTGGGCTATCTTTAGCCACTTGGCCCAATCTGTCTGCCTGTCATTAATAAATATACGGAGGTATTGCTTCAACTCCTGGTTGAGTCTCTCTGTTTGTCCATCAGTCTGCGGATGGAACACCGTTGATAACTTAAGTTTGATGCCCAGCATCCAGCATAACTCTTTTGTAAATTCACTAGCGAATTGTGGCCCTCTATCGGAGATAACCGTTTCTGGTAACCCATGGATAGACCATACAAAATCTTTAAATAAATCTGCCGTACCAGCAGTGGTAATGGTTTGATTGGTGGGTATGAATACCACTTCTTTGGAGAAGCGATCTACTACCACCATTACTGAATCATACCCATTTGACTCAGGTAGATCCGTTGTGAAATCAACCAATATATCTTGCCAGGGACCAGCTGGTATCGGATTCGGCATAAGTTTACCGGCCGGCGGTTGGTGAGAATTCTTAGCCATGGCACATCTCAGACAGGATTTTATGTATTCCTGTACGTCTTTGACCATGCCAGGCCATATATAGTTTCTGGAGATCAACTCCATTGTTCGTTGCCACCCAGGGTGCCCAGCCACTGGAGTGTCATGATGTCTATCTATTGCCTTGATCCTTGCAGACTCAGGCACATAGATTTTGTCTTTAAAATGGAAGAGCCCGTCTTCCCATAAATAGTTCTTATTGCCGTCAAGGCGCGCCTTCTCTTCTGAGGAGATGTCTTTCTTGAAGACTTCCAAAAGATCGGAATCCTGCCCGATTCTAACATTGGCAACCCTGGATTGGTCTATCAGGGTGACACCTTTGTTATCATCCTCGATGCCGTTGGCATGATCCTCTCTTCTGGACAAAGCATCCGCTTTCCCCATAGAGCTTCCAGGCTTATGAATTAATTTATAATTGAACCTTGACAAGTATACCGCGTAGCGAGCCTGTCTTTGGTTCAAGTCTCGGGCCATCGTAAAATACTCCAGATTCTTATGATCAGTCCAAATTTCAAGTTGGTGTCTAGCACCTTCTAAGTAGTGCCGCCAGTGCTCTAAGGCTCTAATGATGGCCAGCATCTCTTTGTTGTAAATTTGATAGTTGCGCTCCGTAGGCGACAAACTATGTGATAAATAGGCACAAGGCCTCCAAAGATCATCAGGGCATTTAATTGACAAAACAGCCCCAGTAGCAAAATCAGAAGACTCGGTTTCTATCCGGAACTCTTTGTCTAATTCTGGAAATGCTAATATGGGTGCCGTTGTAAACACCTGTTTAAGCTTATCAAAAGCTTCTTGTTCTTTAGTGCCCCAATGCCAAATAATATCATTTTTAGTGAGATCATTCAACAGTCTCATTATCTTTGCAAAGTTTTCAACAAATCTTCGATAGAGATTGCCTAAGCCAAGAAAGGCCCTAACTCCTTTGACGTGAGTAGGTTCTGGCCAATCCAATATAGCTTGAACTTTCTCAGGATCCATCCTGATTCCATTCTGGCCAATTATCATACCAAGGAAGTCTACTTCCTTCACTTTGAAATTACATTTTTTGGGTTTGATGAATAGGTCCTGTTCCTGTAAGCGTCGAAGGACTTTTTGCACGATCCTGTCATGCTCAGCCTCATCGTCCAACTTCGTAAATATTAACAAATTGTCAATGTAAATGACGACACAGTTCTCCATATCTGCAAAGATCTCGTTCATCATGCTCTGGAAGGTTGCCGGTGAGTTGGTCAACCCAAAGAACATAACAAGGCGTTCAAAGGATTCTTGGTGGCACGTGAACGCGGCCTTCCAAGCATCTGCTTCTTTGATTCGTACATTATTGTACCCCCATCTGAGATCCATCTTTGTCAAGATCTTGGCACCAGCCAATTTGTCTACTAGCTGACTGATCAAAGGCAGCGGATACGCATTTTTAACTGTGTGCTCATTCACGTAACAATAGTCCATAATCATACGCTTCTTACCATCCTTTTTAGGAATGAAGAACACTGGGGATGTCATAGGGCTTTTGGAAGGTCTGATGTAACCCTTCCTAAGCTGTTCGTCTATGAAACTTGACACCTCATCTCTTTCTGGAGCAGAGAGTGGTATCATGTGTCCTTTTCTCAGTTTGAAAGTGTCCTTCAAATCTATAGCATAGTCCCAAGGCTTAGCCTCTGGGAAGCGCTCTGATTTATGTTTTGAAAAGACTTTCCAGAAGTTATGGTACTCGGGAGGTACCAGCCTTTTAATCTCTTCTTCGGGTTTTACCTCATCATCATCATTGTCGATCTTTTCTAAAGATCTGAGCTCATAAACGTGACCAGCGTTTATCTTCTCAAGACGCTCATTGTGACGGACATAATTTGGTTTACCCAAGTTCACACACTCCTGAGGGCAATGTGACAATGTGACAACCCCTGTCTGCCAGTCGATCTCAGGGTTGTGTTTAAATAGCCAGGTCCAGCCCAAGATTAAATTAATCTTCCCTAGTTGGGTAGCTTTGGCGGTGACTCGTTCTCTGTGTCCTTGGTATTTGACAATAAAAGAACATTTGTGCGTGATGCAGCCACCCGCGTTCAGCGTACTGTCAACATTATAGACGGGAATAGATATGTCTAATTTTACAAGGGGGAGTCGAATTTGCTCCGCCCAGACCTGATCTATGAAGGTTCTGTTAGCGCCTGAATCAAGCAGTGCACTGGTTGGGTGTACTATGCCCCGGGCAAGGTTTTCCACACCAACGTCTAAACGGATCTCTTTTTGGAATAAATATGTGCGCATCAACACACACTTTGGGATTTGGGAAAGGGTGGCTGCAATGAAGAAGAAGAGGTATCGAAAGCTACATGTTTTTCTATTTTATTTTTACCAGAATCAAGCACCCTATTGTTTGTCTCGCCGGGGCCACGCTCCAAGGGAGACACTGGTGCAGCGGTAGTATCATAAATATTACAGTTACAATGCTTCATACAAGTACATATTTCTGATAAATTTTGAAATCTATTTACAAATTGGGGAGCCATCCCCTTCTTTCCATTATTGCTCGTGCAACACCCCGGAGCAGGGGCCACCTTGTTGTGGTTTACTTCATTGGTTCATGGAGCAAAGGCACCCAAGTGACCTAAGCTCCTAACTCTTTTCCCTGAACCTTCATCTCAGTGACCTGCTGGTCATAAAAGAAGGCCTGGATCTTGTCATATGAACGACTGGCCTGAGTCTGGAGCCGATTGTCCAGTTTTTCTGTTTCTAGTTGGTGCACCTGGCACCCTTGATTATTTTTTTGTTGGGTGGCCTGCACCCCGTTTTTGCAATCTCAGGACATGTGTCCCTCTTGGCCGCAATTGTAGCAGTTCCCTTTGAATCTGCGCATTTGTCCGCCCTGGACCACGCCAATATCTATAGGGGCTCCCTGCCCTGGTTGCAGCCCGAACAGCTTGAACCCGTGAGAGTGATTATGGTGGTTTGATGACCCAGGGCGCCTCTGGGATTGGTTGTTTTTGGTGGTGGACCCGCCACCTTGGTGCATAGCGTAGAGCTCCATGACTCTACCGACGCGTCGTACTTTCTCAGCCGCCAGGGCCAGATTTTCGTTTCTTGTATCCTGCAAGTAGATCTGTTCTGCAATGCGGGGGTTCACATTGCGCTCCAGCAGTTCTAATGCATGTTCATTGCCAAGCCCTCCTTGGATGGAGAGGGCCAGGAACCGGGTAACATAGACATCTGTCCTCATATTTCCTTGTTTGAAGGAACAGATTTGCTGACGCACCCAGTCACGCTCAGCTTGCGTTTTGAAATGTTTGAAGGAACAGATTTGCTGATGCGCCCAGTCACGCTCAGCTTGCGGTTTGAAATATTTTTTTGATCTCTATCTTGAGATTGTCCCAGGTCGGCCACACACCCGCGGTGTAGCACTCCTGCAATCTAACTTGGGCGTATTGACCCGCCAGAGGTCCCCTTAGTCGAGATAGCACCGCAGTGGCTACCTCGAAATCATCGGCAAATGCATCCCAATTTGCCTTAACCCATATTTGGAGCTTGATTCACCATTTGGCAAATCACACTCTGTCTCCTTTGAAAGCGCCGGGGTCAACGACGACTTCCACCTTTTTATTACAACCAAGAGTTAGTTACTCTGGCGCACACAAGAACACACTATAAGGGTAGTGAATGGGGAGTGGTTACCCCTTGGGCTGCAGAGAGTTTGTTGGTTAACAACAGAAGGACTCGCTGAGGAGTCTCCTGGATCTATTGGGGTATATATACTAATACAGAGTGTTTGTACTTATGTACTGTACAGTTGATAAAGTCAGTGGCTGATGATGTTATGGGGCCTAGCCCGCATGACCAGCTCCACTGTGTGAGAGAGTTGTATCTAAAAATAAGAAGAAGGCAATGCGGCGCGAGAAAGAGGAGTTTGAACAAAAGGGGAAGTGCCGTGTGGCACCATGTGTGAAAGCTAAAGTATACAAGGTTAAAGCAGAGAATGAAAATGAAGGAAAGGTCCGAAAATTGTGTTATCGTAACACCAATACTCTGGATATTGCCATTGCCAGTATTGCCTTCTGGTCATGCTGCAGGTATATTATTTACTCTTCACTTCTCTTTCACATACTTACCCTCTCCCTTTCACATTCAAGACTCGGCAAACTGCTCATACAAAGTTCAAACCCATTCACTCCACAGAAGCATGTCTCTCACTCAATCTTACCCATTCCCCTCCATTCACATACCTTGGTCCAAAACCACACAGCAAGAAGGCGCTGACATATGTATCATGGCCCACAACCATCAGACTTGCCCGTTTGTGGCTCTTTGACTACATCTTTCCTCCAATGCAAACATTCTCAACTCTGCACCCCTCTTTTCCTACCAAATCACCAATGATACTTGGGATCCCATTACCAAGATGTGGTTTATGACACGATGCAATGATGTATGGGTGGCTGCCGGATTTCCTTGCATGCCAGGACATTCCTTCAGAATAGGAGGGGCTACCAAATTATTACTACAAGGTGTCAACCCAGACATTGTAGCTACTCAAGGACAATGGTGTAGCAGAGCATTTCTCAAATACTGGCGTAACATAGAATCAGTGCTTCCTCTCTTTATCTCTTTATCTTTGTCATCATCTGCAGTAATAGACATGTGTTAAACTATAGACAATTTGTGCATCCGTCATTGCATACCAGTTCTCACACAATCTCGCTAACTTACTTTAAACCTCTGCTCATTCCTCTCTCCAAACTTACAAGCAAATATTTGTTGCACATATTTTTTGTGCATATCTTGTCCAAAAGTTCTTTCCATCTGAATCAATTGTTTTATCGGTTCATCCAATCAGTGTACAACAAACAAACTTCAGATCATCAGCTCAGTTTTGGGTGGAGTCAGGTTGTTTTTCATCAAAAAAGTACTCGACAGTATGGAGCTGTGCTCTACCAAAGTTAGGTCTCATCTTTTTTCAAAATCACCCTCCTTTGTTGAGTCCCAGCTATGGTATGCTCCGAAGGTCTGTGGCTCTTGGATTTCCTCCCTTCTCTCCTCTTCCATTTTCCCCAAAATTTGATCCACATGTTTTTGCGATCATTCACTGTCACGTGACCACTCTGACAAAAAAACAAGACCTTCCCCACCAAACCACAAAATATACTGTCAATACAACAAATATTTAGTGTTTTTTCTCCTCTCATATATCATGTGAAAAATAAATATATCTTTTCAATAAATCAAAATATGTTTTATTTTTCACATTCTACAACCTAGTGCAGCAAATTACAAAGCCACCGAAGGCGGGCTCCCCCCAAAAGGCTTGTCATTTGGATAAGACTAGGTATGGAGCTAATCCTGGTGTTGGGAAATTTGCATGCGAGAGCCTTACATCAGTCAGCGGAGTCCGTAATTGCCCACTATTATAAGGCTTCCTAATTGGGAGGGCCAGGTGGGATTTCCTATGACAGTTCACCTGTCGCTCCCACGGTTGTCCTGTAACTAGAGTGGTTAATACTTCTCTGATGCACCTCTAATAAGAGGGGATAGGCACTTTGTGCTGCCTCTTTTATTAATCCTTGGTCAATTAGATAGACTCTGGAAATGGGACATGCTGTCCTCCCCTTGCCACCAGAGTCCGGACCCGAGGGACCTGCACAGCCAGGCCAGATGGTATCATCAGTCATGTTACCTCCAGGACGGCATCAATTTGATAACTAAAGGGGTAAATGTGGCATATGATGTTGATGCAACAACACAACATCGCTACAATGAGTCGTCACAATCTCCTCACCAGTGTTGCCATCACCATCACCATCAACAGTGAACCACTCCTTTCCCTCTAACTGCCCCTTCCCCCTGCTTATGTCACAAAACCCATGGATCTACAAGCTGTGGAGTGGAGGCTCCTGTTCATTGACAGCTTATGGGAATGCAGCTATGTGAGCCTATAGGCTGTCACTGCACAGGAGGTCATTCTAACACTATCACCCCAGTGCGGTGTGACCCTCGCTACAGTGTATTACATTCAGGATCCCTCCTTCAGGATGGCATTTGTGTATTTCAGTCTACTCTACATCATGAGATACCTGGGTAATGTGTTCTAATATTTGTAGAGCCTCCCCTTCAGCCTCTTCATCTTCCTCCTCATGCTCAAGATCCTTGTCCTGGTCCCCGTCCAAGCTCTCCCCCAGGCTCTTTGTCATCATTATGCAAAGAATCCACAGCATAACTTGTGTTGTCATTGATATATGGAGGAGGATTACTGACACTTTCCCCAGGTCCAGTATGGACACTTTTGCCAGGTTGGATGGTTCCAGAAAACCCTGGCAGACGGGCAGTATCGAGGGGGCACGCTGTTACAATAACACATTTTCAGACCTTTAACTTTCATTCTCCTCTTTAACCTTTTACTGTAGTTTTCACACTCCATGCCATGCGGCACTTTCCCTTTTGTTCAAACTCCACCTTCTTGCGCCGCATTGCCTTTCTTTCTATTTTAGATACCAGTCTCCCACGCAGTGGAGCTAGTCACATGGGCTGCGCCCTCTGACATCATCAGCCACTGCTTTATCAAATGTATAGTACAACATGTACAAACAACGTGTAGTAGTATATATACCGCAATAAATTCAGGAGACTCCTCAGTGAGTCCTCCTGTTGTATCCTCACAACCAACTTGTTGAATCCTAAAGGGTAACCACTCCCTCATCATTTATCTCTATAGTTAGTTCTAGTTGTGCGCCAGAGTAACAAACTCTTGGTTGTTACAAGCGCTAGATGCAGGTTGTTCAACCGGCCATGTTCCCATTGGTGGAGAGCAATCTGGTGAGCAAGTGGGGGATTGAGGAGCTTCACCTGTTCCTTGCAAGCATGTAAGTATTGGTCCTCGTCCCTTATGAAAGTCACCACACGTCGAAGCTCAATATCCACCCTCTCAATCTCTTCTTTTGCACAACATATCTTGAAGTAATGATCCATAGCGAGTTAACCAGCAGGTGTCACCCAAGGCTGCATAGATATATCCTGGCGAGTGTCTCGGAGGAGGTCAAAGTCTGCCAGGAAAGCATACTCAACTACCTTCTTCCATTTGAGAGTATGGTGGGGTGGATGTAATGTTTGAGCTGCCGTATTATAACGCTCTAAGGCTGTTCTGATTGCAGCAGAACAAGCCTGTAGAGCCTTTGTCAATGTGCTTTTGCAATGAATAACCTAGTGTACAATTATCATTTCCTGATCTCCTGTATTAAGGTAATCAAATAAATATGCTTACTGGCCTGTGACCTATTCATTTTTGTCAGCTCAAACATGCAAACAACAACTAGACCTTCCAAATGATCAAGGGCCCATTGGTAGTTGTGCATGGCCACGAGCCTCTCTGTTTTCTGCCATGCTGGACAGTCTGGTTTCCACCTCTCAACAATATTCAACCTCACCTCAAGTCTTTGCACTTTAGTGAGCTGCTTATTGTAGTTTTCAATGGCAAGGCAATGTGTTGTTTCTAGTCGTCAACCTGGCCCTAGTAGTGCAGGTGACTCGGTGAGTGACTCTTGCCTTTTGATATTGAATGTGACTGCAAGTCTTTGGCTGTAAACAAAAACAAAGGGGTTAGCTGATGGATTAGAGGTAAAAGTGTACACACTCTCGGTTCTGAAGCTCGACAAGTTCATTGAGGTACTCCATCTGAAGTGTCTCCTCAACAGGCTCCTTTCAAAGTGAATGCAGGTACTCTTTTTCTTCTTGCAACCATGACTCAAAAATGCACTCATCGGCCAGGTGGAGATCTTGCATTGCTCAAGCGAGGTTGATGGGACCTGTTTCAAGGATATCTAAAGCCTGTTTGTAATTATTATAAAGAAAGTTTGCTGTGGTAGAAATTTTGTTGATGCACGAGTTCACAAAAGAAAGACAGACTCACTGAGGTTTTGATAAATCTCAAATGTATCATTATGCTCAAGATATGAGTTGATTGCCTGCTTGCAATGAAAAGCACTGGAGTATTAAACAGTAGATGCTAGAGCATTTGACCTTGAAAATGCTTGTTTGCATCCCTCCAAATCCTCAAGTCCGAGTCCATTAACATAAGTTGCAAGATGGTCTAGCTGGCACAGGTGCCTATGCGCGTGTCCATGAAAAGAGCCAACCAAGCAAGTGTGATTAAGATTGCGTGCACGTCTACCAAGGGGGCTATTGCTCAATGTGGTCTTGAATTTACAACTTATGTCAAATCCGCCCCCCAATCCTTTGCTGAAGACATCTAAAAGTTTCTCCACTACGGCCAATGGATATTTTGTGCTGAAAAAATAGAACTTAGTGGCCCGCCAGTGAGAATGAAACAATGTACCAACCGCTCACCACTTTGAACCATGTCAACAATCAAAAGCAAAAAACCATGACAACACACTGCTAAAAAATTCCCGTCTCATCAAAAACCACCCACATCTTCTTTATAATGTCATCCTTCATATTTTTCCATCAGCCAGTGCATGGGTTTTCTTCGACTTCTTCCTGCAAGATCATTAAGTGCGGAAAGTGTAGTCAAAGAAAACTCACTGCACTCTGAGCTTTGCCCAATAGATCTTTGAGTGCTTCAATGGCCCATTTATCAATGTAAGCTCTGGTTAAGTAATGGTCCCCGTGGACTTCTTGAGTCGTCAGTAGCTCACATGGTTGTCCTGGCCCGTCATCATCATGATTGGTTGAAGTGCACCTTATGACTCTCTTGAGCGAGTTGTTTCCGTCCATCACATATAGAAGCTTGAATTCTATTGTGGGTTCATCCTTGAGTGTGTATGTGCATGCGGGACAGGCATGCTTAAGCCGCCAGTTTGGGGTATCCCGACCACAAGCTTTCTGTATGCAATGATTGACTTGATTTCTGATCTCCAGAAAGAGATCAAAGGCTATTGAAAATTGTTGTGATAGGTGTTTTTGATATGGCACCTACATGTACAATAGATAACATCAACAATGTTAGCAAAACATCATGTACCCCTTGGAGATCAGTAAGTGTCTTCATGAATGCTTGTATCAAAAGATGAGGACTTTGATGGTGTGCAAGGCAATATAGCTCCAGAGCATCAACCGTGATGCCTACTGTAGGAGCTATTGGGGAGCAAGGTAAGAACCCCTGGCAAACCATTGCAGATGCAATGAATTTATCGGTCGGGAGTATCTTCAGCTGGCAAGAGTGCGCGTCTAATCAAACCATATTGTTGGTACCTGTGAGATTTGCTTACAAGTAGACAGAGACTCACAGTAAATGTCTACCACTTTGACTTTAACACTGCCAGCACTTTTTGACACCTCTGAGTTGGACTGATGATGATCTCTGAACAAGCCACGGTCAGCACTTCCCTTATGTTTGTAACACCATTCCATGTATGCATCTGTCAGTGTTGCAAGTTGCTTATCAAAGGCTTTGACCCTACATACAATTTGATCATGGCAATTTTGATGATCTTGACACCTTGGTTTACAATGTTGAAGACAGCTGGCAATGGTAAGCACAGCAAATCTATTAAACCAGATGCGTTTTACTCACCTTTGTAAGATGTCCGACTTTATTTGTTGGGCCAACAGCTCAAACTCTCCTCCAGCATAACTCATATTCAGTGCCTCCAAACCATCAAGGATATTTTCAATATCAATGTTTTTGTCTTCCCAGTAATCCATCTGGTCTATTTCCAAGTTGTTAGTGGTAGGAAGGTACTTCAAAGCCTCCAATGCTCTCCTTTTGCTAGCAGTCATTTCTAACCCATGTAAAGTATGTCTCAGTTTTATTCTGAAATACAATGCACTCACCTTCCATCCATATTTTTTTGCCGTTCATCTCCTTCAGCAATTCGTTTTGCAATACCTTTTGAGCTCAAAGTCTCACTTGTTTGCTTAATTTGCTGGCCATATTGATTTTGAGAGGATCCCACTTGACGGACTTTTCCAGAGGACAGGCTGGTGTGTCCCTTTGGTTGTGTTGCTCCTATGCTAACCATCTCCTTTCACGTTGTTTCAGCAGTGGTTTTAGTTTCTTGAAGGAAACAAGGCCAATAAGAGGAAGGAGAATTGTTTGCCGGTCAAAGTCTTAATGATAGCATGGACTAGAGTCAAAATCTCACTGTCCTCCTGATCAATCAAGGTTTGTCATGTGCGGTTGTGATATGACTGATCCATAGTACAGTCAGGCCACGTTAATCACATTGGACCCCACATCTTATCCTCAAACAACACAGATGTTAAGTCAATGTACTAATGACTCCCAATCTTCAGGTATGTGTATCTTGGCTTTAGCATGGGATTGTGGAATAAGCTTTCTTCATAGCTGCCATTCCAGCATCACCAGGGTTTTGTAACAAGACCGTTGCAAGGACATGGTCAAAATCTACTACAACTACTAACAAAACCCAAACCATATCTGTTACAACTAGCCTATTGCAGTGCAGGGAGTACGTAGGATCAACCAGTAGACCACCAACCCAAGCAATGGCCCAAGCCAGGCCAAACCAAAACCTGGCAACCACTGGACAGACAATCCCCTTACCTTGTATCCCTCACCCAGACAATATACCACTACCAGCTCCCAGAGTTAATCCTGAGAGTTATTATACTGTCTGGGTGGGTCAGGAAATTGGACTATTTTACACATGGTGAGTTATGATTGTTGATCATTTGCCTTGTCTTCCTCACTGGTAATTCTGTTGCAGGGACGATTGTGCCAAGCGTGTTCTAGGTGTCAGCGGAAACAGGTTCAAGAGGTACAGGAGCTTTGAGGAAGCACTTGGGAAATACAGACAGAAATATGAACTAGGTGCAGTGCACACTGCAGCTGTGCCTGGTAGTTGTTTCTGGTATGCGCAAACCAATAGCCCTACTCCCACCCAACCCTCCTTGGACCTTGATGACTACGACCAAAGTACTGACTTGTATATCATATTAAAATATGTTTTTATACAAATTACAATGTAATATAGAAATAGCATTGGCTAATGTGATGTCTTGATATTTTTATATCCATAAATCACTACATACATATCAGAAAAATGAGTACTCATAACATATTAATAAGTTTGAATTATACAGTGAAGCCAGCATTCACATAAAATGCTGGTGTAAATGCCAATACTACCTATACTCAATTCAGTGTGTGTTCCATATGAATCTTGTAATATTGTTCAATGTACTGGGATGTCTGCTCCTCTTCCTCACTTTCAACATATCAATATTAATCACAACATCCAAGCAGGCTCTCTAATCATGCTATTGACACCTATATTCCTAGTGGGCTACAAAATACACTGGATTGTACATTATGTTACAGCTATAGTGAACGGTACACTATAGTTTGATATAACTCTGGATCTATGTGGGTCTAACTTTGATCTTGTTTTTTTTTTTGCCAAGCTGATACTATTGCTGCAATCATATGTCAGCCACGACCACGAGTGAGTGGACAACAAAAAATATGTTGCAAGACTCACCACAGAAGAAAGAAAAGCAATTTTTGCTACAAAAGAATGGCTTTTGAATCCCAAGTAAGTGTCCTCCTTGTATACTGTGATAGCCCCAGTGAACTGTCTAAATAGAGTCTGTGCAATCCAAAATGCAAAGGCAAGGGAACATTCAGCACGGTGAGTATGTTATGCTTTGAATGTCAAATTTCTGGCCTGACCATACCACAGATATTGTGACAAGTGAGTTGATATCCTGTGTATATGTCTATAAAACTGCTGACATACCTTTAACAAGAAGAAAATGCAATGATAAAGCTAAGGTCACCCTAATTCACAAGCCAGACAATCCCAAGATTCATCAACAGGTCAGCTTGAATCTGATAAGGTATGTCTAATTTCCCATCAGTGCTGTGGTGCCTTTGGATGGAATTTAGACTTGCCTTATACATTCATTTAGATATCACCAAATCATACTCAATTGCGGGCCACCATAAGGCCTGCTAGATAACATTTATATTGGTGAGTTTCTTGTTAATTTTCTACAATACGGAAACTCCATTTCCAGGCCAATTTGTCATATAATCTCTCTACAATAACTCTATGCTTCCCCTCATAGATACCTGCCTTGACACATACTTGGTGAGTCAAATTTGTGATATTATATTGAGTATTAGCTACTGTTGTTTCTCCGCAACTGCATTGGATGCATTTGGCCCCATGCACTCAACCTGTATGCGGATTTCTAGTCTGGATAAGAGGGTAGGGAGAGAATTTTTGGCGAGTTGATTACATGATGTTAGTGGCGACTTTCATTACTCTTTGCAGTCAGGCCAAACCAACAACACAACACTCAGAAACTATACATACTTCATCAATCTGACTACACATGATCTCAGCAGGTGAGCATACTATGTGCAAGCATATGCTTAGGGCAGTTATCTGTACTTTATATTTTGCATGATCTTTATAATAATGAACTTTGATGTGGTTTTTTTTATAGGAGCAGTCAAGGATTTGTTTTTATAAAATATTGATTTTCTGTTCCTGTAGTTTGTGCTACATGTCTCATTTTATTTTTCCTGACTAGAGATATCTTGTTAATCCTGCTGGAACACAACCCCCTCATTGGAGAACTTGCGAGGTCTCTGCAGGATATCTGAGAGCACCTGCGCTGCTCTCATCTTCCTCTTTATACCCCCCTCATTCCTCCCCAACAAATGGCCCAGGTCCTGCACTGGTGCCATCTTCAGTACCTTAGGAAGACATTAGACCTCCTACTATCCCTCTTGAAATGATTGACCCACATCTCCTAGAGCCACCATTTGCAAACAAAGGGTCCCAAAACAATGGCATAGCACTGACCACAACAAGTGCAGTGCAGAGATCACCAAGCCGTTTGCCAGCTTTGCAGCCCCTCGGAAACCAAGCACTAACCGCCCCTCCAGCCCCAGCACCCCAACCTCCTCCAGCACCAGCACCCCAGCCTCCTCCAGCCCCGCCCCCACACCCCTTCTCTCACATACAAGCTGTGCAACCAGACTGACTGACTTGGGCAGGTCGAAACCCTGAGTGGCCAGGACAGGCTTGTCGACCTGCACCACATGCACTTACAGAAGCAGAAAAGGCTTCACACAAAATCTCTGCAAAAGATAGGAAACTCACCAAGGCAAGGTTGAAAGAAGACATTGACAAATTTTGACTCAACAAGGAGCTTTGCATGAAAGATCTGGCAATCAAGCATAACATGACAACTGAGTATATAAAAAAATAGTTCAGTGCAGAAAGTAATTAGGGCCCGTTTGGCAGCCTCCGTTTCAAAACGAGAGCCATTTGCAAATGCGCTCGTTTTGAACAACTCTCAGTGCAAAGAATATTTCTCACGCTATGTCACACTATTTTACACGCATTTCAGGATTGTGGATTAAGTAAGATAGGTGTCATCCACAACCGACACCATCACATGACGTGACTTGGCTTGTGACCACTGGCGTGACTTGGCAAATCACCAACTTGAATTTTTATCATTATTTCCACAAAAAATCTATCTCGTCTTACATGGCACCATTTTCCTTAGTTCTTCTTACAGTATTGTAATTGTATTTACAGAGGTTCAGCTTTTCTCTCAAACAAAAAATCCTAAATAATTCATATCAAGCAAGAAGAGATAGCAACTTTGTTTGCCGCCAAGCGTAACACTTTTCATCACATGGTCACATGATGGCATCAAAGGCCTATCTTATCTTATCAGTACTCAGTAGTGTGACAAGCTCTTTTCAAAACGAACTGTGTCGCCGAACACGTAAGCTCGTTCCGAAACGGGCCTGTTTTGAAAGGGCACCATTTTGAAACAAAACGAGACTTTTTTGGCGGGCAATGTTTCAAAATGGTGGCTGCCGAACGGGCCCTTACAGAAACACCCGTGCACCAAATATCTACAATGCGATGGTTCATGCAAAATCAACGGAAATCAATACAGGTATTATTCATATGATAGTAATGGTACAAAAACACTAGTATATACTTCAAAGATCTCCTGGCCGGTGAAAGAAAGCATCTACAAGAGCTGCAGAGTATAGTCAGCAAAACCTGCAATCCCTCTACTGTAAGCAAAGAAGAAGACTGTAAAACCTCTATCCCCTATACCGAGTTAACGGAGGGATAAAAGCTTAAATCAAACAAGTAGCGTTTTCAAGTAACGATTGAGAATTAATCAACAACTGAGGAAAATATGTACATGATGGTCTACTATATATATGTTTCTGAAAGTCAGCCATGAGGCGCTGACTGATGTTCTTTGTAATGATTCTAGGCTTATGTCACGTGATGGTCACGTGATCTGATATAACTACGTATTTATGTTATCCGCGCTAAAGCAGCAGCTTAACATATCTTATCTGTCATGTGATCAGATATCAAAGAAAATGAAAAAGGAAATTAGCGCTCAGACTAGCGCTTCTGGTTCAAGTCGTGACATTACCCCCTCCTTAGGACTTTCGTCCCGAAAGTAGGGGTCCATCTTTCCGTTTTCCCAATTAAACAATTGTTTTCGGACTCTAGTCGTTGTGAAGTTTTCGAAGGGTTGGAAATGTAATTGAAATCGGATCCGTCGAGGTGCACTAGGGTTGTTATCGTGGAATGTTTTTACTTTATCGGGTGAGTTGTTTAGATGTTGTTCGGGTTCCCACGTGCGTTCCTCTTTTGGATAGTTCTTCCAGTGTACTAAGTATTCCAATTTCCCTCTTTTTAGACATGAGTCTAAAACTTCTTCGACTTCGTATTCTTCTTGTCCGTCCACTATTACCGGCGGTATTGGTTTAGGTTTCTGTTGGGAAGGGAACTGTGGTTCTTTGTACGGTGTAAGCTTTATCTCGTTGAAAACTGGATGAATAGGCCTCCATGTCGGTGGTAGCGCTAATTTATATGCCGATTCGCCTATCTTTTCCAGTATTTCAAACGGACCGTGTCTCTTGTCGTCCAGTTTCTTAGCTGGTCGATCTGTTGAGATATTGGTCGCTTCTACGTACACCTTATCTCCTACTCTATACTCTACTGCTTCTCTTTTCTTCTTATCGTACTGCTTCTTCATCTGTTCAGCTGCCTTTTGCAGCGATTCTTCTGCTCTCTTCCTTGTTTCTGTCATTCTCTTTACGAAATCTTCTGCATTTTCGTTTTTTACCCCCACTTTCACTACTTCCTGTGTTCTCGGATGATGTCCATGATTCAGGTAGAACGGGCTATATCCCGTCGCAGAATGTTGTTTGTTATTGTAAGAGAATTCTGCTAGGGTAAGCCATTCTGCCCAATCATCTTGTTTATGGTTTACGAAGATTCTGAGATACTGTTCTATCTCTTGATTGATCCTCTCCGTTTGTCCATCCGTTTGTGGATGCCAAGCCGTTGATGGGTTCGCCTTTATCTGAAGAAGCGTATGTAGATCTTTCATGAATTTCGAAACGAATTGCGGTCCCCGATCTGAGATGATCTTTTCGGGTATGCCATGGTTCCTGAATACATGATCTCTAAATAGTCGTGCCACTCCTTCTGATGTGATCTCCATTTGCGTGGGAATTACCTTGATCATTTTTGTAAACCGATCTACTACTACCATTATCATGTTATATCCATTTGATTCTGGTAGCGGTCCGATCAGATCTACTGATATGATCTGCCAAGGTTTATCCGGGATCTCATTTGGATGAAGCGGTGCTGCTTTCTTTTTATGGTCTGTTTTGGTTCTTTGGCAGACTTCGCATCCATCTACGTATCTTGTGATATCTCTGTCCATATAGGGCCACCAGTATTGTCGAGTAATTAGCTCCTTTGTCTTATATCTTCCTGGATGGCCTGCAATAACAGAGTCGTGGTTTCGTCGGATAATCTCTTCCCTTAGCGCGGCATCCTTCGGTACATAGATCCTGCCTTTGAATACTATGCAACCGTCTTCGTCTAGCCAACCATCCTCTCTCCTTTCTATCTTTCCTTTCATCTTTTTTATCAGCTCATCTACATTTCCCTTTCTTTTCGTAATCCACTTTGAAATCTCCAATTCTTTCTCTTGACTGTCTGCGATCTTTTGTCTTTGTTCTGGAGAGAGAGTCATTCTTACAAATAGTTTCTCATCCAGTAACACGACGTCTTCGTTGTCGTTTTCTCCTTTGTTATGATCTGATCGCCTGGAGAGAAGATCTGCTTTTATATGCTTCCTTCCTGGCATATGATGTATCGTGAAATGGTACTGGCTCAACTCTGTCATCCACCGCGCCTGTCTCCTATTCAACTTCTTTGGTTCTTTGAAATACAGCAGATTCTGATGATCTGTCCATATCTCAAATTCCTCTTCCGCGTCTATTAAGTAATGCCTCCATTCGTTAAGTGCCGTCATGATGGCAAGAAGTTCTTTGTCATAGATCTCGTAATTGCGTTCTGTGGGGTTTAACGCTTTGGAGAGGTATGCAATTGGCTTCCAGTCATCTTTTTGTCTTTGTGATAAGACAGCACCCATAGCGAAGTCACTACTATCTGCTTCTACTTTGTATTGGCCATGTGGTACTGGGAGAGCTAACACCGGGGCTGAAGCTACACGTTGTTTTAATGTGTTGAATGCTTCTTGTTGTTCATTTCCCCAAATGAAATCCTCTTTTCCCGTTAACTTGGTCAATGGTTTGGCTACTTCCCCGAAGCCTTCTATGAACCTTCGATAGAAATTCACAAATCCCAAGAATGCTTGTATGTCTTTCTTATTTTTGCATTCTGGCCATTTGCTGATTCCTTCTACTTTCACCGGATCCATGCGAATTTCGTTTTCTGAGATGATCAGTCCCAGGTATTCCACTTCTGTCTGTTCGAAATCGCATTTTTCTGGTTTAAGATAGAGATGATTCTTTCTTAGGATTTCTAACACACGTCGCGTCGTTGCTCGGTGCGTTTCTATATCTTTTGTGAATATCATGATATCATCTAGATATATGATTACTAATCCTTCATCTATCAACTCTCTAAAAAGCGTGTTCATCATCATTTGGAACGTGGCGGGGGAATTTGTCAGTCCGAAGAACATGACTAGTGGTTCGAATAATCCCCGATTTGTCCTAAACGCCGCTTTATGCTCATCTCCTTCTCTCATTCGGATGTTATTATATCCCCATCTTACATCCAATTTTGTGAAGTATTTGGCTCCACTCAATTTGTCTACTAGTTCCCCGATCAACGGAAGTGGATATCTATTTTTGATGGTGATATCGTTTAGCTTCCTATAATCTTGAACTGGTCTCAACTTCCCGTCTTTCTTTTTAATGAAGAAGAATGGTGATGCGAATGGGGACTTCGATGGTCTTATCCGTCCCGATTCCAGATTCTCTTTTAGGAACGCATCTAGTTCTTCTTGCTCTCCTCTTGCCAATGGATAGATCTTGCAATCTAGGGAGTGATCTCCCGGTATTAGTTCGATTGCGTGATCCCATTGTCTTCTTTCAGGTAATGTGTCAAACTCCTTTTTATCAAATACGTCTTTGTATTGATGGAGGTGTTTTGGCACTATCTTTTCGAATCCTCCTTCTTTTCGATCTTTGCCTGCAGCTTCTGCTAGCTTTTGTGCCATTGTGCCTTGGGCTCTGATATGGTAATATTGATTGTCGATCGTGGCATCTTCGAAATTATGGAGATTCACCTGTATCATCCTCTCATCTTCTCGTAGTTCCTCAAAGAATATTTCAGGATCTTCCTCTGGATCAGAGATTCGGATCCTTGGTCTGCATTCTTCAGGACACCTTTCAAAGGTCAACTTCGATTCTTTCCAGTCTATTTTAGGATTATGTTTGTTCAACCATTCATGTCCTAGAAACATTTTTCCGTTACCCAGATTGGTTACGGCAAGATGTATCTTTTCGACGTGTCCGTCGATTTCCATGAGCAGTATTACAAATTCATTGATGGCTCCGTTTTTATTAAGAGTTCCATCTGCATTATAGACTGGAATAGGTCTCGGTATCTTCCTTGTCTCATATCTTTTGTCTTTCACAAATTGGGAGTCGATGCAACTCCCCGTGCATCCACTGTCCAATAGTGCTTCGACTGTTTCTGATTGGAGAGTATCTAATGTAGTAAGCTTACATTTTACGTTCATTTGATTGCCTTGGGTGCCCCTAATGTACTTTTTTGGGGAGGCAATTTCTATGATCGCTTGTATAGCTTCTACTTTTGGTAACCGGTTGATTTCTTTGATCGTTTCCCGGGTTACTTCTCTCGTTCTTTTTTTATGTGTCCAGGCACTTAGAATCCCAATGGATCTTTCTTCCTTTTGGTCTCTTAGCCTGTCTACTACCCACTCTGGGGTCCAAACTTCTGTTCTAGGTTTTTTTAAAGGGGTTCCTGACCTTTCTTCTACAGTCTCTGCTGCGTTTTCCTCCGTAGAGTTCGCCGCATCGGGTGTAGGAATCTTAGGTTCTATCGTAAATGCTGCGCTTTTTAGTGATTCGCCCGCCGTCGGAACTGCGGATGTCTTATCACTCTGCGCCGCTTTTACTCTAGTTGCATCTTTTTCGTTTCGGATTTCTTTCTTTGTCTGAGTGGAAATAATTTTATTGTCATCCGCGCTAAAGCTGCAGCGTAACAATTCTGAGTCACATGTATCTACAGTCAAAGGAAGAAACCGATTCGAAACGTCTTTAGGCTCAGTCGGTCGATGCGGTACCGCTGGCCTCTTTAAAAACCCTCAAGGAGTTTTTCCCTTTCCTCTTTCGTCATCTTTTCTAAGAACTCTCGGACATTAAATTGTGGCTTCCTTTTTTGTGCGTCTTTGCATTTGAAGCTTCTATGTCCCTTTTCTCCGCATCGGTAGCATCGTCCCTCTGTGCGGAACTTTGCTTTATCTACCTCCATTCTTTCTCCGCTACCGGTATAGGTATATCCGGTTCCATCTTTCTTCTTCTCTCCTTCTTTCTTTTGTTCCGAGTAGGGTTTCTTCCCAGTATCGGAGCCTTTTTTCTCTTTTTCTCTCTCTCTCCAAATATAGTCTATTCTGATGAGTTCCCTTTTCCACTCTTGGTAATCTCTTGGAATGTGCCCGCCGTAGATCACCCTATCCACTAGCGGCTTGTTCATATTCCTTCTGAGTAGAGACACTAGGAACTCTTCATTTATTCTATTTGTGTATCCCGCCCATCTTTTCTTCTCTTCAAACCTTTCAAAGAAGGCTTGGGCGGTTTCATTGCCCTGTCTCAGGGTCAATATTTCGTTCTTGGCAGTTTCTTTTTCAAAACTGTCCTTGAACCTTTCTTCCATTTTGTCCGCAAAATACGGCCAGCTTCCGTACGTGTTTGTAATATCGAGCCCCAGTTGTTGGGCGTCGACTCGGTTCTCTAGCCAATCGGTCCGGAAGGCCGCGGCTTCTCCTTCTTTCATAAAAGATAGCACAAAGCTTATCTTTTTTCGGTCATCTTTGAAATATACGGCATCGTCTTCGAAATGTAGTAATAAGGACTCTCTAAAGGCCCTATACTTCTTTTTATCTCCGGAGAAGTTCTCGGGTTTCTCCAGTGCCGTTCTACTTCTTTCCACCTTTTCTGGAGGTGGCGGTATCTGTTTCTTTAATTTTCTTTGCAAGACGCTCACTTCTTCGAGTGCCTCGTCTAGCTGCGATTGGTAGTGCATTTGTGTCTGTCTTATTGCCTTTTCTACTTCTTGTTTTACGTATGCTTCCAATCGCGCTTCTTTCGGGGGGGGAGTGTCTATTCTGGGTAATGCGTCCATCATTTCCCTGGTAAATGCGCTGTCCGTGCTGTTGGATGGCTCGGGCAGATCGCGATATTCTAGGTTGGACATTGAACGTGAGTTGGGGAGGAGGGGGAGTTTCGGATTTGATTAAAGGGGATGGGATTCTAATGGGTTCTATTTCTGGTAAAGGGAATTGCCCTTTGAATACGTAATCTTGAGAGTAAATGTGTTGCTCTCCGATCCAAATGTAAAATTCTCTACTAAGCATAGAAAGGAGTTCACCAGTGATAAGCTGGATCGATACACCGCTTTCTAAGATCCTAGTAGTCTATCTATTCTCTTTGAGTCAAAGTGGTCCTCTTCAGCCCACTACTGACTATGTAGGTATGGTAACTATTTTTGTATTTTACGAATTTTATGTAAAAAGTATAGTGATAAATTGGGGTCCGAACGGTTGTCCCAATGTGACCAGCTTATTAGGCTTTCAGTCCTTCTCCCGACTGGCGGACGCAAATGCGCGGCCTGGTCAGAGGAAATCAAAAATGAAACTAGGTAAAACCGAGAAAATCCCAGTGGTTCCACACCAAAGAGATTATGATGATATAAAAGTGTAACTAGAGGGGGATAGTGACAAAAGAGTCTTGGGAGGATGAGGGTGATACGTTGGCGGGAAAGAAAGATAATATGGTGTTGGGGCGAGCGGGGATGTGATGGAGTGGAAGAGTAGTGGTGGTTTGGGTTGAGTGTTTCAGTAAGGTTAGGATGAGTAAGATGATGATAATGGTGACGATGATGGTTGTTAGGATTGTTGCTGTTATGTTCATAAACGGTACTTGTAGCAGTTGTTGATTGTGTAAAACCTCTATCCCCTATACCGAGTTAACGGAGGGATAAAAGCTTAAATCAAACAAGTAGCGTTTTCAAGTAACGATTGAGAATTAATCAACAACTGAGGAAAATATGTACATGATGGTCTACTATATATATGTTTCTGAAAGTCAGCCATGAGGCGCTGACTGAGCTAACATGCAGCAGCCATGAGGCGCTGACTGATGTTCTTTGTAATGATTCTAGGCTTATGTCACGTGATGGTCACGTGATCTGATATAACTACGTATTTATGTTATCCGCGCTAAAGCAGCAGCTTAACATATCTTATCTGTCATGTGATCAGATATCAAAGAAAATGAAAAAGGAAATTAGCGCTCAGACTAGCGCTTCTGGTTCAAGTCGTGACAAAGACAACGATCTTTGTGGGTGCCTTCTCAATCATCGTGAAACCAAGTCCTTGGAAAGCCGTGCTAACAATTTAGCAGCAGCAAGGGATGTCCTGGCAACCGCAAATAGGATTGGAAAGGAGGTAAAGTGACATCATTTCATTGATGATCCTCACTGACTTCTTGTTTTCAGCTCAATAATCTCGCTGCAAGGACAGGTGCTTGGGGTTGTTTTTTCCTGACCCGCAGTCATATATTTGACTTGGGGGCGCCCACCTGGTATGGAAGCAATAACTCAATGGACTTCTGGGAGGATGTTGTTGGGAGAGACCCGGACAAACTTGCTATGTTATTCGAACAATGGGCTTGTTCACGAAATCAGAGTGAGTACTGCATTGAGTTAATTTAATCTTCTCTTATCTCGTTATTATTTCAGCCGTCTGCAAACAAGAAGACCTTGCTGACTGCCGCCAACTGTGCACCAGGTTTTGTAGGAGCGGCTTGCGTAAGTACACATTGTCTATATTTAATTACACTCAGTCACTGTTACAACAGGAAGCATCTTGAAACGGAAAACAAAGATGGTATATGATCAATATGAAACAGCCATTCCACCAGGACATGCCTTTTGTCAACCCATCCGTGATAGGCACTGTGCTGAAAATTTGTAAACTCCGTGAGGCACGGAAGACTGGGAGCTGTCACTGGGTGAAGCTGACTCAAGCCCAACTCCAAGAGCATAAGGCACAGCTGAATGAACATGGGCAAGCAGGTGAGGTGTTGAAGAAAAAGAGGAAAAAAAAATCTGATGCGGGTGTAGTGCGTAAGAGACGCCAGATCACTCAGAATAGCAAGAATGAGAGGGTTAGTGGTGGAGATAATAGACAGGTTGCGCCACAGCGATGAAGAGCTAACCAAAGGGCACCAAAGAGTGCGGAGGTCATTGTGTTGTCCCGAGAAAACTCTGACCAAGATGAGTGAAGTCCCAATGATGGCTTATGTCATAATAGATCCCCATGTGCCCCATTATGCTCCATGTACTCACCTCCATGTACCCCAAACATATGAATATCATACCTACTGTAAACATGGAAGTAATGAGACGAAGAAATGTCTGTGATAGGAGCTGAGTGGGGTGAAGGGAGGCGAGAAGGCTTGGGGAGGGGGAAGTGTGAGAGCAACTAGACATGCTTGAATTGAATGTAATATGGGTGACCGTTGTCCTCAACAGCAGTTGAGTGTTCAAAGTGACACCCCTCAGGACATGTTATTGTATGCCAGAATTGACGCCTGTGCAGTGACAGGTTATAGGTGCATGTGGTACATGTTCCTATAACCGGGCAATACACAGGCCTCTTTGATGTGTCTGGGTATATACAACATTGGGAGTTGGCAAATTGGAGGGAGGACGGGGAGAGCTAGTAAGCGACAGTGATGAAGGTACTGTTGAGCCCTTATGGTGTGTACCAGTTCTATGAGTGGCGGGAAGGGATGATTGGAGGGCGGGGAAGTGTCCTGCATCATTGGCGGCAGCGACAAAGATGCGCCGTACTGGGGTGATAGTGTTAGAATGACCTCCTGTGCAGTGACAGCCTATAGGCTCACATAGCTGCATTCCCATAAGCTGTCAATGAACAGGAGCCTCCACTCCACAGCTTGTAGATCCATGGGTTTTGTGACATAAGCAGGGGGAAGGGGCAGTTAGAGGGAAAGGAGTGGTTCACTGTTGATGGTGATGGTGATGGCAACACTGGTGAGGAGATTGTGATGACTCATTATAGCGATGTTGTGTTGTTGCATCAACATCATATGCCACGTTTACCCCTTTAGTTATCAAATTGATGCCGTCCTGGAGGTAACATGACTGATGATACCATCTGGCCTGGCTGTGCAGGTCCCTCGGGTCCGGACTCTGGTGGCAAGGGGAGGACAGCATGTCCCATTTCCAGAGTCTATCTAATTGACCAAGGAAATAAAAGAGGCAGCACAAAGTGCCTATCCCCTCTTATTAGAGGTGCATCAGAGAATTATTAACCACTCTAGTTACAGGACAACCGTGGGAGCGACAGGTGTGACAGTTGTTTCCGGTGATCATCACCTGCTTCAAGCCTTAGTATGGTGTGGCAACTAGTTTGGCAAAGATTCTATCCCAACATAAAAAGCTATAGTCGGGCGTAGGTCTAACATTTCACATGTAGCTGATACCTGTAACCAATCATCCACCATCCACTTATTCCCCCTCACAGGGAAACAACCGGAGCGAAATCTGCAACGTGGTTTCAGATCCGAACAAGGGTTACACTATGCTTTCAGTGCCGTTTCAAGGACTCTCCGTACTAATAAAGCAACTTCTGCCGAAGTACTCCTTACCGTCAGTCGACAAAGCTGATGATGAATAAAAAATCACATGATAATAGTAGCGGGAATGACTGATCTCACCTTCGCCTCTCTGTTTGGCTCCAGTCTTAAAAGACATCCAACCTTTCCATCAATCGACATGTTGAAAATGCCTGCACCTACAATGTTATTTGGATTGGGGTCAATGTTGACAAGGATTTCCAAATGAAAACCTATAACGATGTGTCGGTGCTTGTCAATGTCAACCTCTCCGTTGCTATCCAATAAGATAGGAAACACAATCTGGGATTCCCGAGGTGGGCCACCAATCAACTGCCAACGTTGAAAAAACTCGGACTGACTTAATTTTACGCGTTGAAAGAATTTGGTAACAACGATGGGCAGTCGAATCGAAATGGACTGGTGTGAACCGGCCAAGAAAGATACAGTGATGGTTGGAGGATCCGTAAATGCTTTTTTGCAAGTTACATGTAACATATGCCGAGTTTGAGTACGCGAAGGGATTGTACTCGGAGGTATCTTCGCGAATGATACCGACAGTGCTTCCGGATGAGTGACACCTACAATCGCAGTAAAGGATGACAAAGGAGCCGAAAGTTTGTTACCCAAGTAAACGGCCACCTGGCCAATATGGCCTTGGTATTGCGACTTAACTCCAACTTGAATTTGTACGTCCTCGTACAAGATCCCGTCTTCAGTATGTGTCAGGGCCACGAACCAGCGGTCAATATCGGGTCCAAGTGTAAGACGGAGGCCTGGATTAATGGTAGGGTGCGATAAAGGTGGTACAGTGCCTGGTTGCGATGCTGTAGCTGGAGAGCAATGGAGGAGTCCGTCTGAAGATCTGACAACACTAGGATCACCCATCTGCACAGGATAAGCACCATGGCCGTCATAAATTTGGTTCGAAGTTGAAGAACTTTTAATAACCGGGCGCTCTATACTTGATTCTATTTTTCCGTGAACCCAGAATGGCCTGTGTTCTGCATTGCCACGTTTACGGTGTAGACGTCCCAGCAAGGCACTTTCTCGGGGAAGGAAGGGAGGTATTTCTTCACATACATTTTGCAGCATATCGTCATCATCTTGTCTACAGGCAAGCGCATAATATTCGCAAGCACGCTGTTGCAACTCCGCATCCAGAACGTGACGGTAACGTTCAAATATATTGATAAGCTGTGTTTTGATTTCAGGGAAAACATTCACCCATTTGATGTAGGTGGAAAGAAGCAGAGCGCGCGTAGAAGCCACGCAAAACTGTGACTTGATGTGTAAGATCTGGAATTGCTCTATAGGGCTATACCCAGGCTCATTTGCAATTAAATGACCATATTCGCCGAGTACATGGCCTACAATGAGATCTATTGAATATGCAAATCAGATTCCTAAAAGTAATTTCTCACCTGCTATCTTCACTAAGCTTTCGTGCGCTGTTGGTGCCTTCAGGTATTCACAAACAACTTTAGCAGCATATTCTTGTAAGTCTTCTGTGTTTGTGATGATCTGTACCACACGATACCAGACCTCGTCCCCAACATGATCGCCAGCTGCATTGATGAGCTGCAAAACGGTATCCACGTACCACTTGTAGGAGGAGGCATAGGTTTCCGTTAGGATGGCAATTTTGAGAACCATTTCTTCACGTAACGCATAATCGGCGACTCGGAGGTAACGCAGAAGCTCGCCGACGATAAGCTCTGAGTTGTCTGCATCGCACATGCTATAGAGCATGTCAAGTGCCCTCCGGCGAACAGATATATCCCTATCGCGAAGAGATAGAACAATGGTACCCTGATGTTTCTTTAATGGCTCCAATGAATCGGCACGGGCAGCCAAGCGGGCCATGGCATCTAGTCCAAGATAGCGTACGTTTGTCTCCTTGGAAGAAATAAAACGTGCCAGAAGCATTGCAGCTGTACTAACAAGAGTATTAACGCCCAAGTGGATAGTAAGGTTTATGGCTTCGAACAAAACTGCATGTTGAGCATTGTTATGTTGTATATGCCTTGATGTCTCGGCCCCGGCACTCAGAGTGGCCTGCACGACTTGATGGAGAACAGAGTAGATAGCTGGATCTTCTGCAGATTATATTAATACAAGAACATGAAGCTCGATGAGATAAAATACCTGAAGGAGGGTAGTATTGCAGTAAACGAAGTAACTTCACCTGTAACCAGGGAGATGGCACTTTATAGTATGCATATGCTGCCGGATATTCATGTCCAATCACTAGCTGTTAATACGTTAATACACTGTCCCTCAAAAACGAAAGCCCCCCTACTCGATATAATCGATCCACCGCTTTGGTGTAACATACTGAAAAAGCCTCAACATGGTCTTGGGCTAGAGCTGTAATTAAACTAGTGACACATAGCACCACACCCTGACACAAGTTATAAAAATACGAATGTGCCATTGCGAAGGCCACGTACGAGGTCGTGGTCATCCATGATGGATACGAGGCGTTGTGCCCATTCAGAAGCAGGAATGACTCTAGGATGTTTTCGATATAGCCTGAGTAATGTCAACGCTGACTTTTTCTTTACAAAACTCCGGGATGTTCTGACCCAACAACACATCAGGCATTACTGACGATAATGCGATGAGACGCTCACGGAGATATCAATAATCTATGTACATCTTCTGCCAAAGCCTCCGCCATTTCACTGCCTCCAACGTTTGCGACGGCATGTAGTGCCAGACAGTTGTTGATCTCGTTGTTATCGTCCAAATCTTTGCGGATAGAGTTGACAACTAAACGCAGGAAATCTGAATTTTCGTGCATGAGCAAGGTTACTGCTAGATAACCCTAAGTCCATGAGATGAATAAAAGTCAGCTGATCTGGTAAAACTACAAACTATTTGTTTTTCGCTATACTTTGAGCTCGAGATAAGATTGACAGCCTCCATATGACCAATATCTATCTTGTAGCCCAAAATATAGGTGAAGATGATTTTTGCGACATATCTAGAAATGAGGAAATGAAACTATGAGATGACTCTACAGAAGAGAGGATGATCACTTTTTCTTCTGATAGCCATCTAAATTCCCATCTAGGTGAGGATCAGTGTAAAAACTAATGGGAGTTTGCAATGCACAAAACCTTTAAACTTCTTTCGTATATTGGCCATCTCCTTGTTAATTCTCTTCTCCTCCAACTCCCGAACTCTAGCACCACGAATATCTGCAATAAACTACCCGAAGTCATGTAAAGTATATAACCATCATAGCAGTCAAACACACCTGCGTGAGGCCACGCATATTAGTTGCCATTCTACAAAAGCTTTTGGACAGGCCAAGTTATTTCAAACTGAAGTCCTACCAGTGAGAGTGATTGAGACTATGGTGCGCGCAACTAGGGAAATGAACAGTTTGTGAGATGCGCATTTACCTAATAGATATAAACAAACCATATCCTGGGACCGAGATACCAAAATAACATCGCCCTCCGGGCACCCCTGGCACCTAAAAGGCCACTTACAGCGTTTTCGGAAAAGCTTGTCTGCGCCGTTTTTTTTCATCGCGCCCTAGAAATATTATATAATCAGCTCAATGACCAAAAAAGGATGGCAATAGGAATCCCGGATTCCATGAAGGAGATAACAATAACCTGTGCTCTGCCGCCTGGAAAACACCTGTGTTACAGGTCTGACACAATGTCATTGAGGATATGTGGTCAACCGCGGTGAAGGTTGGGCGGAGGGCAGACAGAGCCAAACTGAGCTTGGTTTCTTTGCTGGTAGCGTGTAAGTACAAATGTTGTGATCGATGGAATCCGGGATTCCGTCACCTGTCCTTTTGTGGTAATTGAGCTGATTATATAATATTTCTAGGGCGCGACGGAAAAAAAACGGTGCAGACAAGCTTTTCCGAAAACGCTGTAACAGTATACACCAAGGTCTGTATACAACGCAGTACACCAAATTTTTATTTTTGAAATTTAGAAATGTATAACAGTCAAATGAGAGTGCAGTACAGTAATCTATGCAGGCTCAAATGAGGTGATGAAAGGTGATGATGCTGTAGAAAATTAGTAAAGAACAGAACACAGGAAGCAAGAGAACGTACACATGAACCAAGGTATTCAAAAGGCCAATATCTCTTTGGGAGAGGTGTGTGGTGGCGGACGGATCTGAACGGGAGTGTTTGATCATAACAATTCCACCACGCCATTTGCAGTGGTCATGGTAAAAATGCAGGTGGGTAAAAATGCAGGTGGGTGTCGAGCAGGTCATTTACAATTTTATTCTCAATGGTAGATATGGTTGATTCATTGTGAAACAACATAGTAAACTTATTGTTGAGGTAAATGATGGGAGTTGTAAAGGAAGGTACTCTTTCAAAAGTTATGGAGTTGATATGGGTGCTTGGCTCACGCTCGAAAGACAGAATGGGTAGGATGTCGTCGTTGTATTCAGGTATTGGAGTAGATGCTTCTCCATCGAGTGTGTCATGGATGTCCGAGTAAGTTTGATGTAGTTCTTCTCGTGCGGCAAGGATGGTGGGTGGAAAGAACAAGTGGTAATTGAGTTGAGTGATATAAGAGCAGGAGCATTTGTCATGCAACAAAGAAGGCACATTGATGATCATAGGGCAAGCATCATGTGTTGGGAAATAAGCGGCTTTGTACATGCGTGAGTAGCACTGGTAAGGGAGATGCCAGTGTTGTCAGTGTGAGCAAGACAAGATACAATAGACCTACATGCATGTGAGAACGTATAGTACAAGAAACATGAGTTGCAGCATCTGAGTCACTAGGAGGCATTGAGGTCAAAGTTTTGTAGTAAAGAGAGGATGGAGTGTTCTTGAGCAAGAGAAGATGGGGAGTTTCCACTGTGAAAATACCACCAGATATTGTGTGTGATGTCCTGAGAAGTGATACATGTATTTTTAACCCAGTTGGTAGAAATTGGTCCATTTTTCAGGATAAAGATTTTGCCTGTAAGTAAAGGCCTTCTCCAATATTCTAAAAAAGCCCTAATTCGCCAACAGCTTTAAATTGCAACAATATCTGGATTTGTTCCCTGCAGCAACAATTCTGTGGCACAGCCGATCCTAAACAAGTGCCCTGGCATGCAAGGGAGACCTGTTACAATTGACATACCAGTACCTACTCACACTTCCTTTTTCACACTTTTACTTTTACTTTTCCTAAGTCACATCACCAGTCACGTGACCATTTACTTTACTTTTCATTTTCGGACCTTTCCTTTAAATTTCATTCTCCGCTTTAACCTTGTACTGTAGTTTTCACACTGTGCCATGTGGCACTTCCCTTTTAGTTCAAACTCCACCTTTCTCGTGCGGCACATTGTTTATTCTTATTTTAGCTACAAGTATCTCACGCAGTGGAGCTGGTCACACAGGCTAGGCCCCATGACATCAGCAGCCACTGCCTCTAGCAACTCTATAGTACATATGTACAAACAAACCTGTATTAGGATATAAACCCCAATAGATCTTGGGGAAGGACTCATTGAGTCCTCCCGTTGTCTACCAACAACCAACTCGGTCCTACCAAATAGGTAACCACTCCCACCTCTTCTTCTTCTTCTTCTTTTGAGTGTTGTTTTGTTGTGCTCCAGTGCCCCAAGACTGTGTCTTGTTGGTGTTGTCACAAAACCCGCAGTTGCCCAAACATTGTTACATCTGGATATAAACCAGGTTTTAGTCATGGGTGCCCATGTGCCGTTTGTTGAGCTATAGGAGAAGAGTGGTGCAGAGTCAGGACTGGAAGAATTGGCCAATAACTGAGACCTGAGAGCCGTGAATGGGCACATTTTGCATTGACGTGCGGTCACGCGTATGTCGGCTCCATCTTGGAGTGTGATTTTTGACTGTAAGGCAATGTTAAACTATAACAAAAACAATATCAGTCTCCGACTGCACTTGCAGGGAGTAAGAGGTACAATGAGTTTTGAGGTCGTCAGATGCTAGAGATTATAGCAGGTAGAGGACTGATAGTAAACTCAAGGGTTCTGATGAGGAGTAAAGTGGGTAATTCAAGTAATAAAAAGCTAAAGAACGATACATGAGTATGTAGGGTTTTTATAGCTAATCGTCTATCTCTCAGACCGGAAGTAGAATAAAAGTCAAGTGGTCTGAGGATGAAACTATCCAATAAGAAAAAGAATAACTATTGTACGACTTCAGGATTAATAAGCAGGTGAGAGAATGTACTAGTAATAAGTATTGTCACGCATGTTCAGGAACTGTATCCTCATGATGAGGTACGACCCTGACTAAAGCATCTATTTTTATCTCTAGGCACTGATGGGGCTTGAAGCTGGTTGGTGAGATTTATACCACCAGTCCTTACCCATTGTGCTGACTGGCTGGGAGTACTACCCAGTCTCTGATCTGCGATATGAAGTGGTAACAATGGTTAAGAAAGCCTGTGAGGGCTATGAGAAGCAAGATAGCAAAGGATACCTCTAGCCCTAGAGCCAGAGGTGTAACAGGGAAGGCATCTGAGAGCCAAGACATGGAACAAAAAGATAAGAAAATAAGAAAATATAAATGGTCCTTACATTGATCAGGGAATGTGAATTGTGCAGAATGTGGTTGTGTCTGGTAGTTGACAAAAAGGGATGGGTAAAATGGTTCTTGAGACGTGTTTTTGAGCAGTGAAGGAGTTGCTGGTTGGTATGACAAGTTCACTGAATCTGGCATTAGACGAGATATTAATGGATTACATGAAGATTGAGGTTATGGGGGGAGGGTGTGATGATCAGTAAGAAGTGGAGACAAACCTGCAACAAGACCAGAAAGCAATGCTGGCAACCACAAATTGTGACGTCAAACATGTCATTGAGGTTCAATCCTTGATGCAGAATGTATAATGCTTCTATGGTGACCGGAGGCCTGTTGGCTTGTTTGGAGGTGAGGGGAACGAGCTTGGAGAAGTATCGTCTAATGTGATGTAGCATGTCTGATCCGGACCAATTGGCACCGTTGATAATGTGCCAATAATGTAATCCTGCTAGCTAATTGTTCAGTGCGCTAGACAAGACTGAGCCAGCAGCGTTGGCACAGAAGGTGGCTAGAAGAGTTTTAGAGACAGGCATGCAATCATGCTCGGGAATGTTGAGACAGTTGCAAAATTGTGTGAAAAGTAGGAGACCTGCACCATAATTGCGCCTTGTGTTCTCATCAAGGGATTGGGTCATGACTTGGAACAATTTCAGTAGTTGGGAAGCAGGGAGGAGTGTTTTGAGTTTTGACTGGAAAGAATGGGCATGAGGTGTAGTCTAAAGAAGGACCCTATCACGGGCAAGAACATGGGGACGGTGTGGAGATGGTTTGATGGAGTTGGTTGGTTTTTTAGGTATTTGGATGATACCCAAAGGGGGTATGTTTGCTTGTTGGCAAACATTGATGGGAAAATTGTGATAGAGATTGTTGGTTGCTGTCTCTATGTTGACACCTTGGAGAATTTTGTTTATGGTATGTTGATCAGACATGTTGAAAAAAAGATGATATGTTGTCTGATAATGTGATATTGAGAGGAAGACGGGATGATGAATGAGGAAATATACCTCAAGATATGGGGTTGGCAAGATTCAGTTTGGTGTTGACATATATGAGGGTGATGAACAGTTGGGAGGAGCTGAGTTTGTGTTCTGATCGTCTGGTAGCGGGGTTGGTATTGATGTTGTGACATCTACCTTTTTGAAATGAGGCAATGACACCTTCATTGTCACTATGTATGAGAACATCAGTGTCAATGATGCCTTTGTGGATTGTGATGAGAATTGCCAGCTCGACAGCAATGGCCTCGAGCCACCCTATGTCCTTTCCTGGAACCTTCCAACTGGTGAGAGCGTGCCAGGCATCCCATTGACTGTTCAAAAGTATCCCAGTGCTCATGCTTGTAGAGGTGTTGACCCAAATTTGATAGTCCCATGTAGGTGAACGTGACGAGAGGGATCTGGGTGGGTGAGTGGTTTCGAGTAAAGAGAACCACCATCTGATGTCTGAGATGACTGAGCTGCACATGTAATGTTGGAAATGGTCATGCGGGAAATTGGTGATCCATCTGTATAGATGAACCAGATAAGACTGGCCTTGTGGAAAAATGAAGGCAATGTGGGAGAGAGTTCCGCTAATTATTTCTGCTTCTTCTTGAGGAACTTGAATGTCAGCGAAGACGGAGAGAAAGCGTGATAAGCGGGTGATGTATTTGAGGTGTTTGGATTCAGAGTGACAGTTTTTAATGGTATGTTCCATAGAAAGCCGAGATAGATGAATGAGTCACCAAATGGTTGATCCTTTTCTCGGTGCCAAGGAATTTGTAGAGGTGAGATGAGCTGTTTGGCTAAGGAGAGGTTATAGTGATATTAGTATTTTTGGTCGGCACAGATGCCTGTTATTTTTCCTTCGGGATGGGGGGAATGGAATATGACAAAATTGTCCACCCATTTGAGAGCTGGGTGGATTCCAAGAGTGTGCCAGATATTGATTGTAGCATCGGCTACTTCTCCTTGTAGTCCTGAGGCTGAGGTGAGACCGAAGGGGACATTATGATCAATATACAAGGAGTTTTCTGAGTGAACAATAGGAGCTTGTTTGTGGTTGGGGAGAACAGGAATTGTGCAATAAGCACCTTCAACATCCAAAGTCGCTGCTTGAGTGCCTGGATTTGAGTTCACTATCTAGAGAGGAGAGATAGAAGGGGGCTGAGTAGGGAGTTTTTTGGTTGGATGGAGAAGTAGAGTGTTACAATACACAATTTTCGGACCTTTAATTTTCATTCTCCTCTTTTACTTTATACTGTAGTTTTCACACATTGTGCCATGCGGCACTTTCCATTTTATTCAAACTCCACCTTCTTGCGCTACACTGCCTTTATTCTTATTTTAGCTACAAGTCTCTCATGCAGTGGAGCTGGTCACATGGGCTGCACCCTCTGACATCATCAGCCACTGCTTTTATCAACTGTACAGTACATATGTACAAACACTCTGTATTAGTATATATACCTGGGACTAGATGTTTGAATTTATGGGGTGGATATGGCTGATATTGCAATTGGAAATCTCTGTTTTTTATGGAGGTCCTTAATGGTGCAGTGGCTGTCACAACCAAGAGTTAGTTACTCTGGCGCACAACTAGAACAAACTATAAAGGTAGTGATGAGGGAGTAGTTACCCCTTAGGTAGGACCGAGTTAGTTGTGGGTATACAACAGGAGGACCCGCTGAGGAGTCTCCTGGATCTATTGAGGTATATATACTACTACAGGTTGTTTGTACATGTTGTACTATACAGTTTGATAAAGCAGTGGCTGATGATGTTAGAGGGCGCAGCCCGTGTGACCAGCTCCACTGCGTGAGAGACTTGTAGCTAAATAAGAATAAAGGCAGCGCAGCACGAGAAAGAGGAGTTTGAACAAAAAGGAAAGTGCCGCATGGCATGGAGTGTGAAAACTACAGTATAAAGTTGAAGAGGAGAATGAAAATTAAAGGTCCGAAAATTGTGTATCATAACAGTGGCACTGGTAATATTGTTCTTCTAAGAATGTCTGTGATGTATAAACACCACAGAAGTAGAATAGAGAGACTTGGTATGTTTGATCGTCCATCTTGAATGTGTCTGAGGTGTAAAAATGCCACAGACACTGAGGATGGTGGTGGTACAGGGTGAAGGTAGAGCTGGTGTCGTGTTTGAGTGGCAGAATATAATTAGAGGTGGGCAAGTGCAACTCAGTCACATGACCATAAACACCAAGTCAAACTCCGACTCGAGTACCCCATCACCCATCCATCAGCCACTGGCCAATATTCCAACTTGGCGCTGCAACTGAGGGGTTTTTACCTCCCAGTTGCACACTCTTACCTGGTCAGTCTGTACCATTTTAGCGGTCGATGCAGGCAATTCTCCAAGTCCAATCTGTCTCAACTCTCCTCACTCACATTCACCACCACCAACATCCGCCTGCAATTGGGAGGTTTTTACAACCCAATTGTACTATCTTTTAGCTCCATGAAGTAGTTATTGTCCATACTCAGCACTACAGATTCTACGAGCTTACTAGTATGTCATGCCCCTACATACGAGTCACCCCCTGTCCATTAACCTTAAACCATCTGAATTGGTCCTTTAAAACTTTCATTGTTAACTCGCGGTAGCTGGCACTCTAATTGTCATACCAATCACTGTTGTAGAAAGCCCTAGGAAGCTTGCACACTAGTCCCCACTTTGATGGGGGATTTTTATTGCTTCGTGCTCTCCTAGCAGGCTTGGAACCTTTTTCGGAGTACAGGTTGTTGCCTTGTAGCCTGGTCTTGTTGATTATATCCAGCTCTTTTGCAATATCTTTCCGCCAAAGCATCACCTTCACTTGATACACCTTTTACACTATTGCCTTGTCATCTCTGTCCACATTGCTTTCTTCTGAGCTCATGCTATCTTCATCCACATGCTCAATGAGGTCTCGTAGCCATTCTCAAATGGCAACATATTGTGCCCCATTCTGTGTCTTCATCTCAATCACCACTTCCAGAGTCCTTTTTCTATGCTCGAATTTCTGTTCACTTCCAGTAATTAATTCACCATAAGCAGTAGCATGTTGCTTATATTGCTTCTTTTCTCCCTCTGTCTTGCCCACATCAATCTATCCTCTTGTTTATTGATCAGTCTATTCTTGACGTTGTCCCACAATTCAAGCTCATCCTCCACGTTGATTTGCCTCTGGGCCACTTTCCAATACAGTTTTATCCTACAAAACTTCTCTACCACAAGATCCTCCAGATAGCTGTTTAGAGCGTCAGGGAGCCTCCATCCCATTGCCTCTCATTTAAAGTCTTCCAGCAGGTACTGGAATATTTTGTGATTCCACTCAAATGATGAATCACTGTTCATGTCAAACTTCAAGTCTTCTTGGTTAGGTCCAGACACTTTGTCATCACCCCTGTTAAATGCAATCATATCACGCCTTGTGGCAAGCTCATGTAATGCATATTTATTGTCCTTTCCAACACAAAATCTGAACTTGAATATACACTGCAGTAGCCTCTGTTGAATTGTAAGTCCCATCAGTTCCAGATGTCTCTTTGAGGTGACTCACCATGTACTGTTTATGTAGCTCCTTATTATTCTGATATTGTTGTATCTTAGCAGCTTTTAAATTTTGCTGCCTGCATGTTTGAGAATTGTTTTGGTCCCCTAGAATGGTTGTCTGTGTGGATGAAAAAGACGACAGACCTGGGAAGGCCTGACACATTGCCCTCTCTATCAGACTAACCAATCATGTCTTCATCTTCGTCTTCACGGACCACATGAGCTGGGATCTGTGGTGACGACAATTGTGGTGATGATTCTGGGAGATCTGGTATCTTCTCATCAGAGTTCTTATTAGCCATAGTAAAAGTCCAATAGAAGTTTACTTATAACTTTGTACGCTACTAATGTTGTCCCTGCAGATACTTCTGTGGATATCACAGCTTAACATTGGACTCTGCAAAGATACTTGTACCCAAGCCATTCTTTGTGGATGATTTGTGGGTTGGGTATGGGCCAGATGATTATCTGGGATATCAGCATTGCAATTCAAGTCCAGAGGGCTTCTCTGCGAGTATCTCGACATGGATCTCAAGTAATCCGTACCTTGAACATCTTCCTCGGATTGGCACTGGGCTTGATCATTCCCTTGATTCTCAGTAGAGTGATTTGGATTCGTAACTCTTGTCTGAAGCCTCTTTAGTAGCTCCTGGTAAGTACACTCACAACTAATGTTGTCTGCAAACTTACCTCATTTTTCTTGGCAATATTCTCTAGTTTCTGCATCAAGGCAGCCATCTCACAAGCTTTCTACGCCTCCATCCACTCCAGTCACAATCTCAGCTGTTCCTCACGCTCTGCTCTTGCTTCAGCTTCCTTTCTATTTGTCTCCTCCCGTTCTCACCATGCTTCAGAATATTGAGCTGCCATTTGTTTCTTCCAATCTTCCTGCTGAGCTGTGTTGGCTTTGGCCTGTGCTATACTTTGACTCAGGAGCTCTTCAAATCTTATCTTTTCCTGCTCTTCTCTTCTCATATACCTGTTTTCTTGTTTCTTCAATGTAGTGGCAATGCTGGATTCAACTCTGTGACTGATCAAAGGCAGCAGATATGCGTTCTTAACCGTGTACTCATTCAAGTAACAATAGTCCATAATCATACACTTTTTACCATCCTTTTTGGAATGAAGAACACCGGGGACGTCATAGGGCTTTTGGAAGGTCTGATGTAACCCTTCCCAAGCTGTTCATCTACGGAACTTGATACCTCATCTCTTTCTGGAGCCGAGAGTAGTATCATGTGTCCTTCAAATCTATAGCATGGTCCCAGGGCTTAGCCTCTGGGAAGTGCTCTGATTTATGTTTGGAAAAGACTTTCCAGAAGTCATGGTACTTGGGAGGTACCAGCCTCTTAATCTCTTCCTCAGGTTTCACCTCGTCATCGTCATCATTGATCTTTTCTAAACATCTAAGGTCATAAACGTGACCAGCGTTTATCTTTTCAAGACACTCAGTCTGACGGATGCAACTCGGTTTACCCAAGTTTTTACATTCCTGAGGGCAACATGACAATATGACAACCCCTGTCTGTCAGTCAATCTCAGGATTGTGTTTAAATAGCCAGGTCCAGCCTAAGATTAAACTAATCTTCCCTAGTTGGGTAGCTTTGGCAGTGACTTGTTCTCTGTGTCCTTGGTACTTGACAACAAAAGAACATTTGTGCGTGATACAGCCACCCGTGTTAAGCGTACCATCAATGTTATAGACGGGAATAGATACATTTTACAAGGGGCAGTCCAACTTTCTCCGCCCAGACCTAATCTATGAAGATGCTGTTTGTGCCTGAATCAAGCAGTGCACTAGTTGGGTGTACTATGCCTCGGGCAAGGTTTTCCACACCAACGTCTAAACAGATCTCCTTTGGAATAAATATGTGCGCATCAACACACACCTTGGGATTTTGGGAAAGGGTGGCTCCAAAAAAGAAGAAGTATCGAAAGAAACATGTTTTTCTATTTTATTTTTACCAGAATTAACTTCATCAGGAAAAACCCTTTTGCTATATAGCGCTATATAGCCACCACCTATATATATAAATGCATTCATAGAAACTATAGTACTATCAGTGCAATCATAGCTCTTATAGCTCTTATAGCATAGTAGTAGGCAAAATCTCAACCAAGGGGAGAAGTATCTATAATTCCCTCAAACTCTGGATTAATCTAATAAATTTGTTCAATAATAGAAAGAGGCCAAAAGTGTTTGGAGTCAAGTATATTATTATAGGCAAGGTACTATAAGTGCTCTTATAGCCTATAGCAGCCTACATAGCTCCTATAGCTGTAAAGGTCATAGTTATAATATAGTTCAAGGTGCTTAAAAGGGCTAATAAATCATACAGTATTAATTGATTATATAGCCTGTATTAGTGAGATAGTAGTTTGTATCTTTGATATTTATAAAAATAAGAATAATGATTTATCCAAATATAAGTAGTGACAATGAGTAAAAAAATAATCTAAGTCCATAAAAGGTCAATATATAACACCTGTATGATATATTTTATAAGCTCTCATGGTGTAGTGGATAAATGTGATGTGTGGTGATAGGTTGCTCAGTCACCCAAAAGCTGACTAGCAGGTTGAGAGTTCAAATCCTGTCTGTGTTAATTTTTTTCTATCAGCCACACAACAATTTCCAACATCTATAAGAGCATTTATAGAGCTATATGAGGCTCTATAGATGGCAGAGGTTCTATAACAGGTTTAGCCACTATAACAGCTTTATGAGCACTTATAGTGCTATAGAGCTCTATATAGCTACCCCCATTTTTCCTGATGAAGCACCCTATTGTTTGTCTCGCCGGGGCCACACTCCAGGGGAGACGCTGGTACAGCGGTGGTATTGTAAGTATTTCTAGCATCAACTCCTTCATCATCTTGACCCTCTGAATCAGCGCTCAAAGCAGCTATATTGTCAGGTGGGTCTAAGATGAATCCACAGTCACAGCTTCATATACAAGTACATACTTCAGATAACAAATTTAGAAATTTATTTACAAATTGGGGAGCCATCCCCTTCTTTCCATTATTGCTCGTGCAACGCCCCGGAGCAGGGGCCACCTTGTTGTGGTTTACTTCATTGTTTTGAGGAGCGAAGGCACCCAAGCGACCTACGCTCCAAACTCTTTTCCCTGAGCCTTCATCTCATTAACCTGTTGATCATAGAAAAAAGCTCGGATCTCGTTGTATGAATGCCCGGTCAGAGTCTGGAGCCGATCATCCGGTTTTTCAGTTTCTAGTTGGCGCGCCTGGCACCCTTGGTTGTTTTTTTTGTTGAGCGGCCCGTGCTCTGTTTGTACAATCTTGGGCCATGTGCCCCTCCTGCCCACAGCTGAAGCAGGTGAATCTGTGCTTTTGTCCGCCCTGGACCACGCCAATATCCATAGGGGCTCCCCGTCCTGGTTGCAACCCAAGTGGTTGGAACCCGTGAGAGTAATTTTTATGTTGGTTTGATAACCCAGGGCTCCTCTGGGAATAGTTGTTTTTGGTGGTGGTCCCGCCACCTTGATGCATTTTGTAGAGCTCTATGACCCTACCAATCTTTCTAACCTCCTCCGCTGCTTGGGAGAGGTTGTCACTCCTCATATCCTGCAGATAGAGCTGTTCTGCAATGTGGGGGTTCACATTGTGTTCCAGCAGTTCCACTGCATGTTAATTACCTAAGCCCCCTTGGATGGAGAGAGCCAGGAACCAGGTCACAAAATCATCCATCCTCATGTTGCCTTGCTTGAAGGAACATATTTGCTGACGTGCCCAGTCACGCTCAGCTTGCGGTTTGAAATATTTTTTGATCTCTACTTTGAGATTGTCCCAGGTGGGCCACACTCCCGCGGTGTAGCACTCCTGCATTCTAACTTGGGTGTATTGACCCACCACAGGTCCTTTTAGCCGAGATAGCACCGCAATGTCTGCGAGAATACGAGGACTTTAAGGGGATCTGATGTCTGAGAATATATCAGAGAGCACGACCTACCCTGATCAGACCGCAGTAGCTACCTCGTAATTGTCAGCAAATATGTCCCAGTTTGGCTTAACCCAGATCTGGAGCTTGATCCACCATTCAGCAAATTGGGCTCTGTCTCCTTCAAAGGTCCTGGGGTCAGTGACGACTTCAACTTTCTTGTTAAATTTCTTCTCAATTGAGGGGGCTGCTGCAGTGGGGTTTGCCTGTAGCTCGGCGAGTTGCCTGGTTAACACCAAAACCTGTGCACACATGTTGTGCAATAGAGTGTTGACGTCAGGTTGGCTTTGCAATGACATGTCGACTTGTTCCCTTTGGTAATGTAAAAAAAGGTAATTGGGGGTCCCCGCTTGCTATCTGCAGATCTACCTCTTCCCAGCTGAGTATTGGATCTCAATCTCCAACTACCCACACTATATTATTTGAAAATGTACGTAAAAGTTATAGTAATTAAACCCTGGTCCGAGAACGGTTGTCAGGGGGTGGCCCGCTTGTTAAGCTGTCAGCCCTTCTCCAGACTGGCGGAGGCAAATGCCCGGCCTGGTCAGAGGAAAGAGAAAA